GTAAGATAATATCTCATTTTAAATGGCGAAAATGCAGTAATAGCAATTCAGATTTACTAGCTGTTCAATTTTTATTTGTTCCTTTATCTATTTGTAATTCCGAATTGTAATCTAATATTATCATTATGATCTGTTGTTTTGCCGATGGTAAGATCTTAAATCTTAGATCTCTTCAGTTAGAAGCTCCATGTTTAGGTAATTTCAGCTCACTTAGCTGCTTCCCCCTGTACTTATGATTATTACCCAGCTTTTGTCGCTCCTTTTTGTCGCCACGGTTCTTCAGATCCTCTGCTGAACCCACTGATCTTTAGCCCATCCTCCGTCATTACGAGATTGCGGTTGCCCAGCCCAGTGGGCAATTTGTCGGAGTTTCGAGCGGTGGCAGAGTGGAAGCGGTTGCCACATTTTCGGGGCTTATTGATTTATCGTTCGCTCAGGGAGACTCGGGGAGACTGCGATTCTTCGGAGATCGCTTCTTCTAGTGGGCCGATTCTTCTCTCCACTTTAAAGGCCCCGGGGGCGTGGGCTCTTTGATTTCTATGCGCAAAATCATCGTGAGGGTTTCTTTTTTCCCCATTTGTTGCCCCAACTTCGTGTTTGATTTTTTTTTCCTGCCTTTAACCCACGCGGCAATGGGTTTGCTGTTTTTTCTTCTTATTTTTCCTTTTGATTTTGATTCGGATTTGGGATTTCGAGTGGGGCTCTCCGCCCCAAATCTTCGCAGCTCTTCGCAGCGCGATTCTTCTGCTGTGCGACTGCCATCCAATTGGCAATAAATCAAGAGCCGCCCACACGCTCTTTTTGCTGCTATTTTTTTTTTGGTTTTTGCTTCACGGAGTCGAGAGGCTGTGGCAACACTTTCGGAGCCTCGGGTCTCATTAGTCGCCGGGCAGAAATTATGTTGCAAGTCTCTCGGCTCTTGCAAATGTATCTCTGAATATCTGAGTATCTGCGCCGCCTTGTATCTCGCCAATCCCAATTCCCAGTTCCCAGATCGGTTTTCCTTTGCGAATCCGTATCTGAATCCGAATCGAACCAGCCTCTTGTTTCCCACACCGAAATGGGCAATTTTTCCTTTTCGTAGATTCCCCTCTATTTTCCTCTATTTTCTATAAATACGCATGCCAACTACTCTGCCCTCAGCTCCCCGGAAAATCAATTGAATTTTCACGCATGTTTATGGCCCGCTCAGTGTTCCATTGAGCAGGCGGCTTTACTGTATACAGTGGGTACCAAGAATAGACAAAGGATTTTAGTTTTTCAGAGACAGTTTTCCCTCAGTTCGGCTCTTTTTTGGGGTTTTTAAAAAAATATTTATAAATGTATGGGAAAAATATACAAAAAATTAATTAAACTAATAATTAATTTCTTTATTTAATAATAAATATATTTGTTCTATTATGCCAGTATTTATAGGACATTTTCACTGTGAACTCGATTAGCTAAAAATGAACAAGTGAACTTTACTCATGGATCTTGGCTGCCAGAAGTCACACCCCCAACCTCCCCCCTCTTTTCACCCTTCTCCCCTGTCAGCCTTAGGAAAATCGGCACTTAATACCCCACGATCACTGTTGGGCCTAGAGTTTCACAGCAGAGGTCATAATATTAAGCCAAAAAAAATGGTAACAAAGAAATATTTTATTTTTTTATTATAGATTTTTTGCTGTAACTTGGACAATAATGGTCCCAAATCAAAAAGGCGCACTGTTTTGAGCAGCTAACAACCTCAAAATTAATATCAGTGCATTTTTCGGCTGATTTAAAAATAATAAATTTTTGACCCAATTTTCACTTTTTTGATAAGGGGTACACACACAATTTTTTCGAAAAATGGCAAAAATTTTAAATTTTTGGGTTTAAATGCAGATCTATTGGAAATTTTGTTACGAGTTCAACGAGGTATGGCATTCCGTATTTGGATCATTATTTAAATTTTTATGACCGAAATACTAATTTTTTTGGGAGGAAAATCAGGATTTTGATTTTTGGTGCCGATTTGAAATTTTTCTTAATCGACTTTTTTGTTTTGTATTTTAATATTTTCCTAGTTTATTTTTGGGACTTTTGAAAAAATAATATTATAATAAAATTATGTTTATGTAAGAAATGCATATTTTAATGACCCCCACTGTGCGTGCCAGTGTTCATATTTATGGCATACTCGTACACACATGTCTGCCAGCTTACATTGCCTTAGCAAGTGTTTTTTGGCCATTTCCTTGTCGGCTGTTAGTTTGGCGCTTTTCGCGTTTTTGGCTTCATTTGTTTACGAGGGGGGAGAAATGGGAAAGGGGAGGTTGGGGAGATGAGGAATGGGCTTTTGGGTTGGGTTCTTGTTATATTATTTTCGGTGTTTTGGTGTTTTGGTGGGCCTGGGCCAACTATTTGGCGGAGATACAGACGCATAGACACACGCACCAGCAGCAGCGAAAAAAAAGCAACAATAATAACCATAAACTGTCGACCAGCCCAGTGGATAGCCCACCCCAGAAAGCACCACCCAACCACCCAAAACCCCCCTTCCCTTTTTCCGACGACTGTTTGGCGTCTGTTGACCTCATTTCGCCGAATAGTTTTTTGAGTTCTTCTTTATTCTTCTCTCTGGGCTTTTCTTCATTTTTTTCTCCTATATTTTGGCGCAAACAAGGAACACATGGTGGCGGCAACTACACGAATAATGCGATGTGGAGGAAAAACCAGCAGAAGATCAGTAAGAGATACTAAATCTACGAGATCCCCGGAATCCCAGAGATTTTCAAGTCGGGAGAAAGAACAACAATTTTATGATATTTTCTATACACAGAAAAAAATGGCAAGAGTGCTCTAATTGGCTTACAAAAATATATTTTATTTAAACAAATAGTAAGATAGAAAATATTAAAAAATAGCTAAAATACTTTTCAACCTACAAAAATATAATAAGATAATAAAATAATATATAAAATATTCCAATAATGCTATGTACAGTAAAATAAATTTCTAAAATTTCCATTTTAAATAAACAAACTAATAAAGTGAAGTTCATGACGAGTTCTCATTGACTGTAGATGTTAATTAGCAAATCAACCTATATAGGAAAATGCGCTTTATGGTCTTGTGAATGCCACAAGTGTAATAAAATCGCCGGCTATAGGGTATACAAAAACAATCGTCTACCTTAATCGGGCGTCCCTGCACCGTATCTCAATTTGTACTATATCATCGAGGGTGATAATTGCGGCACGTATGTAATGGAAACAAAATAAAAAAAATTAAGATGGGCCGGCGATAAGCGAGTGACATTATTTGCATATGTACCTTTTCGTTAACTGCACTCTCATTAATAAAACAAATATGCGACAATCGCGGAATGCAAATAAAGCAGAAAACAAAAGGCGGGCATGAAACGAGTTGCAAATTCAAGGTTTCGCACTGCAGTTATCGGTCAGGAAAATGAAATGAAACGATTATTTGCATCGCCTCGGCCTTCCATTAAATAAAAAAAAGTCCTCCACATCCGGTCAGATAATGCAGCTTCTCGTGTTTCTTCCGATTTCAAGTGCGTCATTAGCAGATGAAATCAATATAATATATAGGTGAAGCTTAAAACTAAAATAACCTGAACATTTAAGCTCGTATAAAATAATTTTCAATTTTAAGGGCTATTTGCTTTTATTATAATTTTGCAAACGTGTATTTTCATTACTAAAAACACGTAGCACTGGCTTCGAAAATCATTCAAATTACTTACTTGTATATAATTGAGTGTATAACTTAACTTAACCCCAACTTTAACCAGGACATTAACCACAGCTTTAACAGAAGTACAAGCACAGTAAAGTAGTGATTCAGGTTTGGGGGCTTATTGAATAGAGCTCGTAGGGATGATAACTATCCTAATGTGCTTATCTACCGACTTTTTGTTTAACCGAAACTTAACCCTGAGTTTAGTGCATATATTTAAGTTTGTCGGTTTATGGCTTAAAAGATATGAGTAGAGTGCGTAGTACACCCTAGCCTAATGTCCCTATCTACTCACCTTCTGCTTAACCAGAACTTTAACCGGAGCAATGGGCTTCTACTTCGGGTTAGTCGGTTTTCATTTGTTGTACGGAGTTCCCATTCCGTCGACCCCACAAAGCGCGTGATCCGCACGTCCAGGAGAGAGACATTCGAGGGGGGGAGGTGCAATGCATGACGAACATGACGTTGGCTTGTCAGCAAATCAAAAGCCCCAATGCACATGGCACATGACCGGCGGCCAAGGGGCCATCGGCCATCCACTTTGGACAACCACGGATCGTGCGAGTGAACGTGTAAATGGATTTTTGATTGCAGTCGGCGGCTTTTGTGCCGCGCTTCATATTTCTTTTCATTTTATATATTTTTTTTTCTTTCAGCATAGCCTTGATCATGGCCTGACAAAATGTGACAAATGCATTCCACCTAATTGGGAATGCAGAACACTGCTCGCCCGAGGAAGAGCTCTATAAAACCGAATGTTTAAAGCCCGGATCGAAAAATGGGGAACTTGTGTGGGAAAGTGTGTCATTGGCTTTCGTGGCAATAAAAACATTTACAGTCGGCGCTGTCTTGTATCAAAATGTATATATTTTTGGCCTAGTTACTCTTTGACATACTTGCTTCTATCTTTGGTTAGACTAGTCGGGGATAATTATCGTTCAACACCAGTATAAATTACAACATTCTCCAGTCCAAAATCGAGCGTTTATGGGGATTACTTCAGGGAGATCCAAGATTAATTGAGATGGGATCGTAGATGATTCCTTTAGAGAGATCCAAGAATATTTGAGATGAGATCACATAACATTCCTTCAGAGAGATCCAAGATCATCTGAGATGGAATCACAGAAGCTTGATATAAGTCTAGACCAGTCTAAAACCGACCATTTATAAGGAGGGGATGGCTTTAGAGATCCAAGATCATCTGAGGTGAGATCATAGAAGATTCCTTTAGGGAGATCCAAGATCATCTGAGATGAGAACACAAAAGATCACAGAAGCTTGAAGGAATGGCCTTAGAGATCCAGGATCACCTGTTGATGAGAACACAGACAGGTTCGATCTTCTAGTAATTATGCCATATAGGCCGGGCCTTGACCGCCTCCTCCTGCTGGGCCTTGCGCCTCCTGGCATCGCCAGTTGTGGTCGCCTCGAAGGCGGCGGTCTCCTTGTGCTCGGTGAGGCTGACATGTCGCTCCAGCTGCTCGTTGCGCCCGTGCAGCAGGTTCTCGGCAATTTGGGCCCGCTTCTCGGCCTGCTGGGCCTGCACGGAGATCTTGCCGTAGGCCACCGGTTCGTGGACCACCTCCAGTTGGTCCACCAGGCTTCCCGTCTCGTAGATCGTCTGCTTGAGTTCCCTCAAAGCGGTGGCCTGCAGGGCGAAGACCTCATCCCTCCGGCCCTGCATTCTCTCGAGGAACTCCTTGCTGAGACCCTGCGAAGACGCCATCAGCTGCTTGCGCCTCGTGATCTGAGACCTCAGCAGGGAGATCAGCGATTGGACCTCCTGGAAGGGCGGCAGCTCGATGGGTATTACCGTGCGGATGGCCCGATAGTTGGGCCTGAAGTTCTTGTCCAGAAAGGTGGAGAAGTAGTTCGAATCATCCTCGGTGGGCTTCTCACCTTCACCCCCATTGGCCTGCTCCTCATCGCGAATGTAGACGGTTTCCTCAGCGAATCTTAGAGCACGCACATTATCCAAAACCTGATTCCACTCCTGGCTAATGGTGGCCAAACAGACGACGCTCGCCAGGGTGCTAACATCGAAGAAGTGCCGCAGCAGCTGGGTGAGACTCGTCTCCCGGCAGGGTGGCCTCTTCCTGGGCTGCCTGCCCTTCAGCACGTCCATCTGGTTGCTGTGCAGCGTCGAGATGCAGCTGCGCAGGGTGTAGACTGTCTTCAGAGCTCCACATGGCCTTCGAGTGTTGGCCGAATGAACGGTTCGGGGGGCTAAGACCTTCACAATCGTTATCTGACCGCATTCGAGGAGCTGCTGATGCCGGATATTATCGTAGACCACCAGATAGATGTTGACCACCAGATGGCTGCCGCCATGGAGGCTCCAAGCATCCCTCTTCTGCAGCGCCGCCTTGACCATCAGCTCGGCCTCCTCGGCACTGCGAATCTCCAGCCGATTGGCGCCCAGGGCGAAGCACCTGCCACGACGATCCTCCCGCAGGGTCAACGATGCCGGCCTGCCCTCCGCCTCGCTGCGATGATTGAACAGATCATAGTAGCTGCTGTCCTGGACGATCAGCAGGCCCAGGAAGCAGGCACGCCGCTTGTGAAGCATCGTTATCTTCACCCCATTTAGCTGCCAGCTGCAAATGCGATTCGGATTCGGATTCGGATTGAGATTGGCGGGCTGGACGTCCTGCATTAGGCGATCCTCCTGGGCGGCCAACTTTTGGGCAGTTCGCGATGGGATGCAGGTGAAACCGGCTCCTAGCTTATCCGCCTGCACGAGATAACGCTCGACGAGATCACAGCCCACGGAACGGAAAATGGAGTCCAGGCAGCGACGTAGTATTCCCCCATCGTTCTTGGTCCCGAGGAGGGAGTAACTCTTGCCACTGGCACTCGCTCCGGTCAAGAGGATCAGCCCACTGCCGCCCATGAAGATCTGCCGGAGCACCGACTCCGATATAACCTTGTAGACCTGAGCCTGTGTGGCGCGCTCGCCGAAGACCCGCCGGAATCGAAATTCTATATCGTGCGAGGGCTGGACTCTCGGTGGTCCGGTACCCACTCCCGGTGCTCCGGTGGCTGCGCCGGGAGCGGAGGGCAGGGCCGATCGGTTGACCAGCACGGTGTTCGGCGGCCTAATCATCATCCAGGGGCGATCACTCTGCTTTACCGGGGGAGGAGCAGCAGGAGCCGCCGCATTCTGGCCAGGATCGCTGTCCTGATGCTCACTGGCCGGGCGAACGCGCAGGTAGATCATCACCGGCTGCTGCTGAATGCGACGCGGATCGAGGGGATCCAGCAGGGTGGGATCTAATTCCTGGCAGCGCCGGCACTCCGAGACATTGCGAATGCCGCGATGGAGGGCATAGGGCGGGGTGGGATTCACGCTCTGCGATCGCCTTTTGCCACCGGACATCTTCTCCTGCGGGCGGGGAGGGCGGATTAGCTTCTGTTTAAGGCACACTGCACATAATTACTCTGACCCACTGACAACTGAGTCGAGGAGTTGACCAGCTCTAAAAGTGTTGCAAATACAAACTGGCTGGGGATTAACTGGGGGAATACCAAAAAGGGGGCCACAATGGTATTAATACACTGCGGGAAAAAAAGGGTAGCCCACTTTTTGGAGTTTTCATTTGGTGTTCAGACGATTTACATTCAAAATTCACCCTTCAAATCAAGATTTTCAAGAGGAAGAACGCGAATTCTTTAGAAAAAGAATGTTGTTTTCACATTTCTACACGGAACTGCCAAACTTAAAAAGGAAATTCCGTTTGAATGCCCTTTAAACAAATAAATAATTAAATGAAAAAGTTCAAAATAAAATTTAAATGAAATAAAAAATCGTAATATCCAACATTTTTTTTCCCAGTGCTTGGACGCATCCAAGTCGCGTCTTGTATTGATTCCAGATTTGTTGTCTGCCCATTTTTATGGCCATTGGCCGTCTGGCTCCGTTTTGTCTACCGAGTTTGGTCTGGCTTTATATATATATATATATAGAGAAAAAGCAGGAGGACAGCCAACATACATTCATATCATACTTAGTTGCCGTTTCTAGGGAGTGCAGACATTTAGGCCCGACCGCTGGCACCTTTAATGAGTCCGCCAGTCTCGCCAAAATCCTATGACAAATGCAAATTTATCGACATCCGCCCGAGTAAAAAAGGGTTAAGTTCGAAAAAAAAGACATAAAACTGGGGGATGGCGAAAATATTGAAAAAGGGCCGGGTTCTCGGAAAAGAAAACAAACATTTCGACTGTTCTCCTCCTTCGACTATCTGTCGCTCGCTATCTGTCCCATAAAAAATTATAAGTACCAGGCAAAAAAAGGCGATAAGCGGACCTACAAATATTTGCGAAAATAAAAGATGTAAAATACACAACCAAAAACTGGAAAATATTTCAAAAACAAACAGGGCAAATCGTCAGTCCAATACCAAAAAAAAGACAAATAAGAGATTTCCCTATCGCTAAATAAACAAATTGGTTAAAAAGTTGATGAGTCTTTCCAAATTCCCCAGAAGACATCGAGACAATTTAAATAATTTCGACAAGTGATTCATGAATGATTCATGACTGGTAAATAATTCAATATTCTCATTGAATACCATTGCATTTTTTTCAAACTTTAATTCTGCACAAATTTCTAAAATATAATATCACAAAATTCCACAGAGATTTCTATATATATTTTGAATATTGCAGTATTTAGCAAATGCATTTAGTTCATGTGATTTATTTCGATTCGTTCCAATCCACTGCGTTTTGGCAGAAAACTATTCAAAGCCTGGCATCATCTCTCGAAATACTCGAATATTCAAACACTTTATGGTAATCCAGCAATAAAAACACGATTCTAAACAAGTTTCGCGCATTAGCAAACATCGAAAGCCGCGGCAACAACAACAACAATTGCAATGCAAATTATAATTTGTTGCTGTCTGTGCTGCTGATTAATAACAATCAATGCCAGTCAATTAAGCTGAAATCGATTTGGCGAAAATAAAAACCTGTTTTCGCACCGAGGAGATTCCCCGCGTGCCGCCAAGAATTTGGTTTTTTTTTGCCTTCGATTTTTACCTAGACAAGTTGCTCGGCGATTCTTCTCTTTACCTGATCTTCATCGTTTTGTTTACCCTAAATATTTCTTTAGAAAAGTTGAGTTTAGGCAACAGGGCATTTTTGGAATACATATTTTAGGAGCGGTAACGGAGTAAAATATCTCCAATTCAAATTTTTTGACTAAAAAATTTAGTTCTATGTAATGTATTAAATGTTATATTATTCCTTTATTCCTAAAAACCATAAATAATGCATCTTTATTTTAAAATATAAAAGTAATAAAGTTATATATTTTTCCATAATTTTGTAATATTTTTTCAACTCAAAAAACATTTTATTTTTAAATAGCTATTGATTATTGCTAACTTTATTGCAAAGCTTTCAGTGAAAATGCCTATAAACAACTTTTAGTTCGTTATTTTCGCTTATCGCTTGAAACTAATTAACTTTCCAGCCGCTTTACCTAATCGAACTTTTGCTAATGATTCTCTTTTTGGAGTTGCGTAACCAGCACGTTTAATTTCCTATATGTAGATCCCATGGATGTCACTTACCAATTTGTTTTGTTGGGCCCATTGACCTCGCCAATTGTGTGGGTGGCCACCGAGTAGCCGAAATTCGAGTGCGGATGGCCATATTTCACGATCGGCAATCGCTGTTCCAGGTTAAAGCCGGCGATACAGATCACAAATTGCAGAAGCAACAAAATCCCCAGCTTTCTTCGCGGGGAGAAAGGTGATAGTGTGGAGCGAAACGGGGACTCTTCCATGATGTGTGTTTTGGTGTTTTTTGTATTTTATATTTTGTAAATATTTTTTAATTTTAAATGCACGTGCACCGGGCACGGCAAAGGGGGTGGTTCTTCAGGCCGTGACCTTTGGCAAACGGCCGAAACAGAAAAAAATAACACTAAATCCGTTGAGTTCTTGGGATCAACAGGTAGTTCGCAGCGTATTTTCCACGCTCTTTTCCGCTCGCCGCTGTTTTTCTTTTTCTTTTACTTTTCGTTTTTCGATTTCCTCTCTTCACACGCACTCACAGCAAAAAAAAAACGGCTATAATAATAAAGTTACTACAATACTATTATACTATTACGTAAACACAATCCACACGCATTTTGATAAGATTCGTGGTTTCCTAATCGAATCCCCGAACACGACAGATACTATTTCGTTTTCGTCTTCGTAGCAAACGAAACGCAAGCGACTCGGGTAAAACTAACAATAACAACGGAGAGGAATTCGAGCCCACTTATATAGACTTGGAAGAAAGCGTAACGCAATAACGCAACGTGAAAACGTAAAGCGTTGCATCAAACATGTTGCTGGAAACATGTTGCTAACAAGAAAAAACGAACATTATTACAAAAAATTAATTTTATTTAATATTTAAATATTTAATAGCCAAATATTTTAAAGTTTAAATATTCGTTATTGGACTTTTTTTTACTTTTATAGCAATAACGTGTTGCGGCGTGTTGCAAGCAGCCATCGAACATGTTGCAAGCGAACCGTGGGAATTGGTAGGAAAGGTTCGATAACGATTACTTTGCTGCGTCTATTCGACTTATTCGATTAATTTAAAAATTCAAGACAATTTACTGGTAATTATGTAAAAAATATATGTGTTTTAGGTGCCCAAGCAAAATGCAAGTCATTGGAATAGGATTGGTTAAGTCTGATATAATTTTTAAGAACCCAATTTTTTCTATGATCCTACATCGTGAGCCCGTTCTACTTACTGTTGTTGCACTGGTTAACGGCAATTTCCTCTTTAAACAAATCGTTAGTTTATAAAAGTAACCAAATCTTATTGTCCGCTATGCTGAAAAATGTGTACAAAATTTATTGTTAATTTTGAAATGCTCTGAAATGCCAAAAAACTAAAACGACAATGATTTATTTATGAACTGAACCAAAAGATACAAAGTGACAGTAAATTTGGAATGTTTTTTCAATAACTACTAGACTTATACATTTTTTAAGGACCACTAGATTTAAATCTAAACCGAATTTTAAAAAAAATTCGTTATTATTTCTTTTTCTGATATATATTGAATGAAAAAACAAATTTAACATTCTGTTTATCAGATATTTATGTGTTTGTTTTTAATTATTTGAATTATGATGGGTGGAAAATTAAATTTTCAAAATGTATCGATATGTAAGTTATACTTGTATACATTTTCTGGCGATATACCTGCGGTCATACTTTAAAAGGCGCGCATGTCCCGATTGAAAAATATAACTATTTATCCCTATTTATCCTGAAAGTTGGGAAAAAAATATATTGGTAGTGCTGCTTGAGAATTAACTGGAAAATATAGTTATGTCAAGTCAGTGACAGGGTGAGAAAATCATATCAACGGTTAATTCGCACGTAGAACTGCGCTTATTGGCCATCGAAGGACTCCCTTGGAAGATAAATATCGATTTTTGGGACGCTCGTAAGGAACCCCTGAGAAAAACCCGAAGAAACTGCAGAAATGGCTTATGTGAGTTTTATAGATTTTTCCCCGTTTTTCTTGGTTGTCCACTAATGGATTACAATGATTTCTGCAGCGCTTGAAGGCCACCAAATGTCCCACGGACGAGCTTTCGCTTACCAATCGGGCGATAGTGAATGTGGGTGATTTTCCGGATGAAGTTAAGTAGGTGGTTCTTAAGGTTATCTCTATATAGACCCTATATATCATCATATATCATCCCAGGTATGCGGACATATCGCCCGCCGCCGGGCAGCACTTCATCTTCGCCTTGGAGAAGACCGTCGAGGTGCCCAGCGGCTATGTGGGCTTCTCCTTGGTCCAGCGCAAGTGGGCCATGGTGTCCATCAACCAGGAGCTGGAGGTGCGTCCCTATCGCTTCGATGCCAGCTCGGATGTCATCACCTGTGTGTCCTTCGAGACGGACTTTCTGCAGAAGAAGACGTCAGTATAGTATATATCTAAGGATTATGTAATATACTAATCAATATATCTATCTCTAGTGTCTCCCAGGAGCCCTATGATTCCGATCAAATGGCCAAGGAGTTCATCATGCAATTCGCTGGCATGGCTTTGACCGTTGGCCAATCCTTAGTTTTCAACTTCAAGGACAAGAAGCTCCTCGGCCTGGCCGTCAAATCCCTGGAGGCCATCGATCCCAAGAGCCTGGGCGAGGGCAAGGAGCCCGCCATGCGGAACGTACGCTTCGGCAGGATCCTCGGCAACACGGTGGTTCAGTTCGAGAAGGCCGAGAACAGCTCCCTGAATCTGCAGGGCAAGAGCAAGGGCAAGGTGGTCCGCCAGTCGATCATCAATCCGGACTGGGACTTTGGCAAGATGGGCATCGGTGGTTTGGACAAGGAGTTCAACTCCATATTCCGGCGGGCCTTCGCCTCCCGTGTCTTTCCGCCTGAGCTCGTCGAGCAGCTGGGCTGCAAGCATGTCAAAGGAATCCTCCTTTATGGACCACCCGGCACGGGCAAGACTTTGATGGCCCGCCAGATTGGCACCATGCTGAATGCCCGCGAACCGAAGATCGTCAACGGGCCGCAGATCCTGGACAAGTATGTCGGCGAGTCGGAGGCCAATGTGCGGCGCCTGTTCGCCGAGGCCGAGGAGGAGGAGAAGCGTCTGGGCCCGAACAGTGGTCTGCATATCATCATCTTCGACGAAATCGATGCCATCTGCAAGCAGCGCGGCTCGGTGGCCGGAAATAGTGGTGTCCACGACACCGTCGTCAATCAGCTGCTGACCAAAATCGATGGCGTCGATCAGCTGAACAATATCCTCGTGATCGGCATGACCAATCGCAGGGACATGATCGATGAGGCGCTGCTGCGACCTGGTCGCCTCGAAGTCCAGATGGAGATCAGCCTGCCGAATGAGCAGGGTCGCGTCCAGATCCTAAATATCCACACGAAGCGAATGCGCGACTTCAACAAGATCAACGACGATGTGGACAACAAGGAGATCGCTGCGCTGACCAAGAACTTCAGCGGCGCCGAGCTGGAGGGTCTGGTGCGTGCCGCCCAGTCGAGCGCCATGAATCGGCTGATCAAGGCCGATGCCAAGGTGACCGTCGATCCGGAGGCCATGGAGAAGCTAAAGGTGAATCGAGATGACTTTATGCACTCGCTGGAGAACGACATTAAGCCGGCCTTTGGCACGGCCCAGGAGATCCTGGATAATATGCTGGCCCGCGGCGTCATCAACTGGGGCACTCCGGTTAGCAATCTGCTCGAGGACGGTATGCTCTATGTGCAGCAGGCCAAGGCGCCGGAATCCAGTGGCCTGGTCTCCGTCCTCGTCGCCGGAGCACCCAACTCCGGCAAGACGGCGCTGGCCGCCCAGCTGGCCAAGATGTCGGACTTCCCGTTCGTGAAGGTCTGCTCGCCCGAGGACATGGTCGGCTACACCGAATCGGCCAAGTGCCTGCACATCCGCAAGATCTTCGACGACGCCTACCGCTCCACCCTCAGCTGCATTGTGGTGGACAATGTGGAGCGTCTGCTCGACTACGGTTCGATTGGGCCGCGCTACTCCAACATGACGCTGCAGGCGCTGCTGGTGCTGCTCAAGAAACAGCCGCCGAAGGGCCGCAAGCTGCTCATCCTCTGCACCTCGAGTAGGAGGTAAGAATTGGTTATAGGGTTTTATTATAGGTATTTCATGGTGTCTCTCTTACAGGGAGGTTCTCGAGGAGATGGAGATGCTGACGGCCTTCACCTCGGTGCTCCACGTGCCCAATCTCTCCCAGCCGGATCACGTTTTGGCCGTGCTCGAGCACACGGACATCTTTAGCAAGGGCGAGATCCAGGCGATTGGCAAGAAGATGGCTGGAAAACGGTAGGCTTTTGAGTTTTTAACGAATTTTGATTATTATAAAAATATAATAATATATTATATCCGTAAGGATGTATTCCTATTCAAACTTAAAAAGATATCACTATATTTATTTAATATATCAATTTTCTCCAAAATTAATAGCTTTCTGAATACATTCTTGGAATATAATATATTCATATATAGCTTATATTTTTATATAGTACACGTCTCCGAATTATTTCCGAATTTAGGTATTTTTTTAAGATTTTTATGTTTATCCTTTCTGGGTGATTCTTTCTACTTCTCGTTTTTATGTCCAGACTTTTATATTAGTTTAGATATTTATATTAATATGTAGGCATTTAACAACCAATATTTTCTATATTTCCCAGCATAATTATTTGTACATTAAACTAAATATTTATATTTTTATATAGTACGCGTCTCCGAATTATTTCCGAATTTGGGTATTTTTTTAAGATTTTTATGTCTATCCTTTCTGGGTGATTTTTTCTACTTCTCGTTTTTATGCCCAGACTTTTATATTAGTTTAGATATTTATATTTTTATAGGTATTTTACAACCAATATTTTCTAAATTTCCCAACTTAATTATTTGTACATTAAACTGGATAAAATATTAACTCATAAATACCCATTCTTCGCCCCATCCAGCGTCTTCATTGGCATCAAGAAGCTCCTGGGGCTAATCGACATGGCACGACAGACGGAGCAGTCGCAGCGGGCCATCAAGTTCCTGTCCAAGATGGAGGAGGAGGGCGGCCTGGACATGGTGGCGCGGCAGTGAGGGATATGAAACTGGATGTGCCCGAATGCAGTCTCAATTATTAGCTTCTAAGTGCATAAAAAAAGAGAGAGAGGGCCGGAGATGACTCCGAATCAGAAGCGTTCCAGAACTCCATGTACACGTATACACCGCAAACTTATACTAGTCAAATATATACAGAAGATATATATATACATACAGATATATGAATATACGATCCAGGCTTCGCGTTGTTTGTTCGGTCCCAAAAGCCCAGTTGAAAGAAAATCCAATCCGCATCCCGGAGGAGTTTCCCATGTTCCCGAGTTCTCGTTCGCCCCCACAGAGCTCAATCAAATCAGACAGATATGTGAGACCCGTGACCTGAAGAGGATGGATAGAGCATGTTAAGCATAATACAGCTAAATGGACAGATACTCAATTACATTTATAGCAAAAGACACGCGTAGCTAAATAACTCGTTAATAGCATGATAATCTTTCTCGTTACCTTTAATTTTAGGATTCGCTTCAGTACATTCTCAGAGCGGCAGAAAACACCAATGTTTGTGAACGTTTTCAACTAATTAATTGAATATTTATTAAATCAAATACTGTTAACCGCCAATGTTATACATATATCTTAAATAAAGATAACGATCTCAAATTCCATCTTAGCCATTGAAGTTTACTTACTTATTTTCCCCATTTTCCCCATCAATTGATTCAGAAAACACCTCATAAATAATTACTCTTGACGATTTCTTCGATTTATTTCGTTTAGAAAAAGCGACACACAATATTACTCTTAATTGTTTCATGGTTTCTGTTCCTTGGACTTATTTGTGCAACAATAAACAAAATATAAATATTTGATTTGGTTTTCCTTTTGCTAAAAACCACTTTTAACTATTTCTCAGCTTATGGAATTATTTTTGTTTTTAGTTTTTTTTTTGCAGTGCGCAACAACAATATTTTATTTAGTTAGAATAATTTAAGTTTTAATGTTTCTTTTTATCAGCTCAAAAGGTTTTTCAAAAACGCTCAATTAGCAGGAGAGGTAAATGGGATGGCGGGGTTCGGAATTTAAAATGGGAGAACCGGAAATAAAACCAAGGAAAAATCAGAGATTAAACGCAGAAAATCTTCTAAAATTTTTAGATTTTTATGTTGCGTTTTCTCTGCGTTTAAAAATAAAAACCCAAAAAAAACTGACAACGGCTTCTCCTTCGCTTAGATTAATAGTTACATTTGCGATTTAATTTTTTAAGTTCAGTTTTTAGTTTCTGTTTCGATTTGTTAACAATTGTTTCATCCAGTTGGAGCCAATCGGTCCATTTCTCGTTGTGCTTATTCTCCTCCTTGTTTCTCTTCTCCTGCTAATTCTTTTGATCCTTGTCTGTTGCTCCTTCTTCCGTTTTTTGAGTTGCTCCTTTACTGTTAGGTAGCGAGTTAGAGAGAGACGGCTATAGACAGCTAAAGGTACACGAGTACGAATACAATTACAGCGGTTTTACAGTTAACGGTTAGCGGTTAAACGGGTATTCCAGAATTTTCCCGATTCACGCCTTCGGGTCCTGCCCAGGACGTAAGTGTGTGTGTGTGTGTGAGCGTGAATGTTTTCGGATTTGGTTTTTTTTTATTAAAATTGTTCACTTTGTTTTGTGTTTTATTTACATATAATAATAGTTTTACTTCATTTCAGACATTTGTTGAACATCGTTATCGTTACACACACGGTGAATACACATGTGCATTTAAATATATATATACTTCATTTGTTTTTTATATATATAAAGGGTTATTATTGTAACAGTTATTAGGTATACATACGTATATAAGATCTCGGCAACATTTAACAACAATTCTCTCTTATTCGTTTTAGTTTCTGTTTCTGTTTTTGTGTGGTTTTCTTTTGTTTTGTTTTGTTTTTGCTCTGCACTCGATTTTCATTTTCTCACATTTATTGCACAATATATATTTAAATATATATAGAATTCTTTAAATAATAGTATGTTGTACTTGAAACTTGCACTAAACTATAAATTGTACAAAAAGATTTCTCAGTTTTTCGCCTTTCCCTCAACTTGTTAGCTGTTAAGTTTTCTCATATCCTCTTATTATATCAACTAAAGCATTCTACATAACACGAAATCCTCTCTCTCGCTCGATCTTCGTTTTTGGGGGCTGGCGGGATAAGTGGGCGTGGTGGTGGTGGGGCTTAAATGTATTTCGGGAACTCTGAGGTTGAACCTTACCTAAAATAAAAACACGCGCTTCTCGCACCTGATCTCCTTTTAACTTTAACTTTATAGTTTACTGATTTACCATTAGGTTAGTGCTTCTATATCCTTTCAACACACATACTTAAATAATATTAATAATAATAATAAGATACATTGAGTTGCGTGTGTTTGTTGGTTTGTGTGCGTTAAAACACCTCTTCTCTCACCTAGAAAAAAAACAAAAAAAAAAGATCCTCCCAAGGAATTCTACAACTAAATTCTCACAATATATTCTACTTATATATTTGCATAAAAAAACACCCCAGTTTCTCTAAGGATTCTTCTTTCTAATTATTATAATTATTTCTTTTTTTGGAGGCACAGCCACCATTTTGAACTTTAGGCCCTGTTCTGCTTCTTTTAGACACTTTCCCCGCTCTATTTTCGATGTTTCTCAGTTTTGGAGGGGATTATAATATTAACGATCGATCGAGAGAGAGATAGATGTGGCTATAGACGATCAATGACAACGACAACAATTGCAAGCGAGCGCCACAACAACAACAGCAACAACAATCAATTCAACTACAACAAATAACTAAATGTGCATTGAGCAGCTTGCGGCCACGCCCTCTCGCCATTCCCGCGTGCCACGCCCACAAATCCTAGCCAGCATCGCCGCCTATTTGGTTTCATCCTGATCCATCGGCTCCTCGGAATCATCGCGGGATAGAGTTCTATAGGAAAATAGATGGAAAATGATATTAATATTTATAAAATAGAAGAAATAAATCCACCAACCTGTGCATGGAAAGGCCGGCCATGGCATTGATCGTCTCGGACTCGTCGTGCTCCACCTTGAGCGTTTCCAGCGCGGACAGACCCACCGTGTGCTCCAGCATCCTGACGCAGGGCCAATGCGTTTGCTAAAAATGAGAATAATAATCAGTTGGTTAAAAAAGGTAATCCCCTACTCTATAATCTATACAAAACCCACCTGAATGGCTATCGTCTTCTGCAGCGTATTGATCGCATTCTGGCAGGGCGGTCGCTCCAGCTCGGCCTGGGCTATCGGAGCGGCCGGATCGCCGAGCAGCGCACGCACGCACTCCTGGGCGGAATCACAGATGGCGGCCAGATCGTAGCCGCCCTCGAGGGCCAGCACCACCTTGCCGTTGGCCAGCTGGAGGAGTTCGCGGGTCATGAAGCCGAAGCACGCGGGCGAGACATGGTAGCCGCCCAGCGGTGCCGGATGACCGGTGGCCGCATCAAAGCCCGAGGAGACCAGCACAATGTCCGGATTGAAGCTCCGCGCGATGGGCATCACAACGGTACGGAATGCAGCGATATACTCGGCGTCGCCCAGCGGCGGATTGAGTGCCCCGGACCATGAGATGTTCACGTTGAAGCCGAGACCGGCACCGGAGCCGCACTGAATTGGATAGAGATCGTTAAGTAAGATGGACAAGATCTTATATACACTGGTCGGCATAATTATTTTGACAGATTTTAAAGTTAAATCTACTCATATTTTGAACTATTAATAGAAACATTTTGGCACCTATAGAAAGAGCACTTCAATTCCGTTTAAATGTTGTTAACCCATTAAAAGTTGGAAACAAGTTAGAAAATTTGACAATTTATTGCGAAGGTCAAATTTTAAACTTTTTTCCTGGGGCTTAAAACAAAAATGTTTTAATGCAAAGGTTTTCCCAAATCAAAATTAATAATAACTGCAAAAAAAAAAATTTCAAAATATTTTTCCTTATATTTTTTAAGATTTTTTGAAAATAGCTAAAAATGACAATTTTAGCCGCTTTTTCCTCCTTTTCATACAAAATTTTACTGAGAAATTTTACCATTCAAAAAATCATAAAAAATACAAGGAAAAATACTTTGAAATTCTGTCAAAATAATTATGCCGACCAGTGTATATCCTATCCTCACCTCTGTGGGTCCGCCTGTGCCGGGAAAGAAGTTACCGTCATCGTGTCGATGTATGGAAAGATATAGAATGTCGGGACTTTGGTAGAATGCTTGCTGTGTGCCATTGCCATGATGCACATCCTGTCAAGGATTACAAGGATTAGTTAAAGAAATATTTAAACTATCTGAAGAGAATCCCTACCCAATCGACGATGAGGATGCGCCGCACCTCGGGCATCCGCTGGCGCAGCAGCTTGGCCGCAATGGCGATCGAGTTGAAGAAACAAAAGCCCATGGCCAGATTGGCCTCGGCATGATGTCCCGGCGGCCGGACGACGGCGAAGCCGTTCCGCAGATCCCCCTTGGCCGTTTTGAGAGCCAAATCGATCACACATCCTGCGGCCATGCGGGCAGCGGTGGCCGTATGGTGTTCATTCCACGTGGTATCCAGATCCACACCCAATCCGCCGCACGAGAGGCGCACAAAGCTCGCCGAGAGTGTGTTTTCCAGCTTGGGCCTGCTCAACTGGCACTGATTGGACCCGAAGAGCATCGCATGCGCCTCCGTGTGCACCGTCTGCAGCTCCTCCTGCGTCGCCTTGCGGGCGCGCAGTCGATCGCAGCGCTTCACCAGATCGGTCTCATTCAGGCGCGCCCAGACGCTCTGCAGCCGACCGCTGTGCTCCGGATGCTGGGCATTGTCGCCGCAAATGCACGAGTGCTTCAGCATCAGCGGATCGTAGGCCAGGCCGGTGGTGACCTTGTGGGGAGGCGAGCCACTAGAAGGAGGCTGATGAAGCTGCTGGTGATTGCGCAACTGGCTGGCATACAGGGTGCTCATCAGCTGGCGGTGCTGGCGATGCGGCAGCGAGAGGTTCACGGGCGGTATATGATCGGCCGACGATGAGGTGGCTATCGGCGCCGGCTGCTGCCCGGTGTCCGGAATCTGGCTGAGACCGTGCGGCCCCAGCGGCACCAGCGGACTGCTGAGCGTTCGCGAAAGCGGTCGCATCAGGCCCTTGGCCAGCTCCTCCTCCTGCTGGAGGAGCAACAGCTGCTCCCGCTGCTGCTGCAGATACTCCTGATCGCGCAACTTGATGCCGCCGCCGGCTATCTTGTTGGCTGCCGTCGTCGCCGCCGCCGCGCTGCTGGACGTGGAGGGCGGGGCACCGCGGTAGGCGGCCGCTGCCACCGCCGCGGCCAAGGCTTCGGGCAGATTCTGCGACGTGCTGGTGGCTATCGTGCTGGTCAGCACCGTCTTCGGCGGCTTCTTCTTGTCGGTGAGGTCCATCACCTCGGCCGCGGAGTCGTCGTCCTCCTCCTTCAGCTGCGCCTCGCGGACCACACCCACACTCACACCCACGCCAGCGGCTGCGGCGGCGGCGGCGGCTGCTCCGCTGCGGGTGAGGACGGTCTGGCGGAGCTTCTGGTTCAGCACCTGGTGCTCGTAGGCCTGCCGCTCCGCCTGGGAAAATATTTAATAATGTTATTTATAAGTAATCCTGGTTGAAAATCAACAAGAAAAGCTTATATACCCTTGCAGAGCATTCCTATTAATTTACAAATCCCAAAAATGTTATATTTCCTATTATTTCTCATTAATTTTCCGATATTTCCTATGGCAGCTATATGATATAGTAGTTCGATTTTAATAAAATTAAAATAAAAATTCGGAAATATTTAATGCAATTAAAAACCAACGAAGCAATTATTTATTTTTTATCATATTCCTATTAATTTTCCCATCCTTTCTATGGGAGCTATATGATATAGTCGTCTAATTTGATACAAAAATGGTATTTCCAAAAGAAGGAGGTTATATGCTAAAATAATTGTTTTCCTATTATATTCCTATTAATTTTTTGATACCTCCTATGGCAGCTATTTGATATAGTCGTCCGATTTTGATAACATTTAATTCGAAATGCATAGTAAGAAAAAAAAACACCCAAGATATAATATTTTAAATTTTTTCCCGATTATTCCTATAGGAGCCATATGATATAGTTGTCCGATCCGGCTCATTCCGACTTATATACTACCAGCAAAAGAAAGAAGACTTTTGGTAAACTTTTACCCCGATAGCTTTAAAACTGAGAGACTAGTTTGCGTTGAAACGGACGGACAAACGGACAGACATACGGACAAACCTCTGCAAGGGCATAACAAAGTTACCACCACTGCCATTCACCTCGCTGTTCTCGTAGTGCGTCTGGACCACATTCAGCTGGGCGGCGCCCGTGAGCATCGGATGGCCCAGGGGCAGGGGAGCCGACTGCGTCCGTCCCAGCGGCCGGTGGCCCTGCTTGTGCAGATGCACCTGCGCCACCTGGGCATCCGTGATGGGCACATTGTGCTGGTGACCATGGCCTCCGTACAGAGCGTGCGGCCCGTGGCCATGGGCCAGACCATGATGATTGCTGTGCCCATGCTGTGCACCATGGCTATTGGTCGGCGGTAGCGATCCGGCGGCTGCGGCTGCTGCTGCCGCCGCTGCTGCCACGGCGGAGATGGCATGGATATTGACGCCCGAACCCATTTGCTGCATGTAGGACGAGGACGAGGGCAGAATGGTGGAGGCGGCATGGGCCTGCGGTGGCGCCACATCGCCCACCAGCGAGGCCTGCGACGAGGAGGTCGAGGTGGCCGACGCACTGCGCACCACCGGCGACGGCTGCTGGGGCGCAATCCCGGTGGCCGGGATCATGGACATCGGTGCCGGCTGACGGCCCACAAAGGCCGCCATGCTCAGCGGATTGTAGTAGCCACCCGGTTGGCCACCGGCGGCGGCCACATGCTGATGCAGTGCGGCGAACATGGCATGGGCCTGAGCCTGGGCCGCCTGAGCAGCCTGGGCGGCCACCTGGGCCTGCGCCTGGGCAGCCACCTGGGCGTGTTGTGAATGCGCCGAGTTGGGTAAATGCGGTCGCCCCAGCGAAATATTCGGCAGCGATGGCGAGCTGAACAGCGGCAAATCGTTGATGCTGCTCCGCTGGCCCGGCTGGTACTGGCTGCCCTCCTCGTTCTCCTCCTGGATGGGCGCACTGGTCGGCGATCCGCGGCTACCGACCACGCCCACCGACAGGGCGGCCGCCGAGGGCGGGGAATTGGGTCCCGAGTCCGGTGTACTGTTGCAGTCTGTGGATTAATGATATATGGAATTATTAGGATTGAACATTATATATTTAATTTGGTAAGTTTAAAAGGCGGCGGTTAACTTGGAGTTAGTTTAACGGGAGCAGTGAAAACAACAGCGATAAACAACAAACAATTAAAACAAGAACAATTAAAATTAAATTTACAAGTCATTATTTTTATAATTTTCTATTTCAATACTTTACTTTTGAGTTTTTGTGTTGGTTTATGATAATTACTTAAAGAAACATTTTTGTTTTAAGTGGTGATATAGTAAAACTTTTATAACTCGCTGATTATTTAAGTCGAATTAGTTTTATTGAAAAGAATTCAAGAGAAATAAGGCGAGCGTTACAATCTTCTTGAAGTTATAGAACTTTAAAAAATTTTAAGATCTAATTTTTATATAATTCTGAAGTTTAGCTATGAAATATATTTTAAATAGATGTACAAAGTATTTATTAAGATTTAAGGCCCTTTTTAATAGCAATATTATCATGATATTCTCCCCCTTTTCTTCGTATATCTCCAGGTTCTGCCAGTGTGACCAGAGTTTTGATGGGACTGGATGATAGATGAGATAGTGGGATACGTACTTGTGAGAACGGAGTTCTTTTGCTGCCTGCGCTGCGCCGCCTGGAGGAGGCGTTCGTGGCGCCGGGCTCCCACCGGTCCACCGATTCGGGCCTTGCGCTCGATGACGCTCTGCTTCAGCCGGATCTTCAGCAGGTTCGGTTCGGATGCTGTTTTGGGAGCGAGCGGTTCACACATGTGTTGGGTTAGTTTGGGTGTTAAGAGCTTCGGGCTTATAAATTACAGGTAAAGGTTTTGCTAAGCTAAGCTTTTAAAACAAACTTGCAGTTAGTAAATAGCCATGCTTCTATTACTTTTCATTTATTATCTAAACCAAGTTGAATATACCACTAACAGATTCAAAATAATCATCTATCTAATATATTTAAATCAGGTTTTTTTAGAAAACGAAAATCCCTAACAAATAGATATTTATTTAAGAAAACTTGTACTTAAGTACCTGAATTTAACATAGAAACTCTTGCCTAAAACTTTCTTATTCAATCTCAATACGGAACCCATTATATCCGGATATTATCCAACGAATATTATCTAAACAACTCATCTGCTGGTAATTTAGTTACGTGCGCCCCTACAAAAAATATTCTCTTATCTGCCAATTTGTGGTTAGACAATAAATCGGAGTTATAGCAGCAGTGTGTCAGGCAGAAAAAAACGGATTTTAATACGGAACTCAGGCAAGAGCTTTGGGTGGGGTTCAAGATAGCAGAAGAATCTCGGTAAGCCCACCTGCTGACACATCGTAATACTCAAGGGCAGGCGGTTGGTTGGTTGGTTGGTTGGTTGGTTATTTCACTCACCTGTCTTCCTCAGCGGAAAATCAGATTCATATTTGAGCAGTGAGGAGGGCGGCTGAGGTATTTTGTACGGATGCGCACTGGTCACGGTTCCAGCTGGGAGGGATTCGCCCGAGGAGCTCTTCACCACGCCGCTGCAAAGGAAATACGACGCAAGGATTATTTATGGTTATCGAAGGTTTCTATTTTCTAGGAATTTGCTTAGTCTTTCTTGTGGAATTTTCCCACTTAAGTTACGATAATTGTAATTGAAGTTATTTCTTAGTAAGGCTTTTTTAACTAAATATCTATTCATATTTTACATTAAATTTAACGGAATTTTCTAGTTAGTTTATTATATAAATAAATTCAAATAGTTCAACTGCTATTCAAGAACATTTGACAAATATTTTTGTTGTATTTCTTTTTTTTAAATATTAAATATAAGATACTATTTACAATATAAGATATAGATAATTTATGGTTGATATGGTTGATATTTTTCAAGCACAACTTATCTATCTTAAATTTTTCAAACATATTTTGATTTACTCCTATTATTTTAAGTTAATTATATATTTAAATTACCGATTCCTGTAGGGCGACGTTGTCGTGCCATTTGACTGCGCCGCCTGCGACTTTCTGCTCATGATGAAGCACTGTCAAAGGAATTGGAATGTGATCAATTGGGGTCCCTTGGGATTTGGACTATCCATCCAATGGTATATCTTACGTTCAGAATCTGTTTGACCTCGGGACTGGCATTGGCGCTACAGGTCTTGTTGAGTTTCATGCCGTCCCTGCCGCGTCCCTGCTGCTGCTGTTGCTGCTGTTGGTGTTGCTGCTGCTGTTGATGTTGCTGTTGCTGCTGCTGATGTTGCTGGTGCTGCTGATGCTGATGTTGCTGCTGCTGCTGCTGGCGATGCTGCTCCTCAGCCACCGCTGCTGCTGCGGCGGCGGCTGTCACCATGCTCTCGGTTCGCAATTCCTGGAAAGCGCCATGTGAATTCACCGCAAACTGAATAATTACAATAAGTTCGAGAGAGAATCGTTTGTTTGTCTGTTGTTTCTTATCGTGATTTGGGGGGGAGTAATAGAAGTTTATGTTAAGTTCGATCCTCATTGCTGTTGCTATTAAATTAATATGTTACTTCCCGGAAATATATATTTCATAAAGAATATTAAAACTTTAAGTGCGCAAAATAGAGATCATCATTTTCTGGAACATTTAAGACCCGTGCGACACGGCTATTTAGAGTGTTAACGATGGCCTTAGTCATCGCACAAGACGCTTCCGACACTTCCGGCACGATAATATAATATATTTCATATGTATAATTTCATTTCATTCCAATTCTCTTTTACTTTGTCGTTTGTTTTTATTTTTCTTTTTCTTTTTTTTTTGCGATTTCTGTCTGTCGCCCCCACACAGCCATAGAAATGCTCGCATCATCATCATCATCATCATTATTATTATTTATAAAGACGGGCGAAAAAAAAAGAAATAAGTAGCAACAGCAACAAAAAGAATAGTTGAACATCAACTGTGCTGCATCGTCTACTCACTTGATACTTGTGCTCCAGTTGGAGTTTATGCTCCAATTCCATTTGCTTCGATTGCTCCTGAAACGTGTGGAAAAGCCGCTGCTTCTGCAATTCCTGGCTCTTCTTGAGCTGAAAAATAAATAGTAAAATTAATCAGTAAGGTAAGGTATAAGGTAAAATTTACAAAACTCATTTATTTAGAAGGAAACTGTTATTACACTTTATCAACTTGCGCTATCTTTAACACACACACAATCAATCTGAAACCAGAAATGTACACAATTGGGAATCCCAGCTCTATTTTTACCATGATTTTTCACTAGAGTGTATCTTTCTTTGAATTGCCGATTATATGTAGAATTTCGTTGATGGATCTTATTTAAGAATACCAAAATACATAGGTTGTTGGTTTAATATTAAAAAAGTTCTTGATATTTCGTCACTCACTGATCACTTTTTCAGTTTGAAGATAACAAAAGATAGTTTATCGATTGGGAATAAATCAAATTTAGACGATCGACGATAACAACCGTTCGATTTTGTTATGTTTCTCATTTTTTTTTTATTGTCTTTCTGACAAATTAAGCTTTTAAACAAAAAACCATATCGATTTTAACCCAAGATTGCCGATCACCGATAACAAATAAACCGATTATTGTTTTGGTTTTGTCTGATGTCTGATCCAAAAGTTATTTTGGTTTCTCGCCTTCCTGATCTCTAGTGGTCTTCTCGGATGTGTCATAATATTTGCATATTTCCCATGACCTTAGCTTTCCACTCTCTCCCTCGCAATCTCTACATTTTCCTCTCTACCTGCGTGTGTGTGTGTGTGTGTGAGTGTCACCCCCCACGCAGTCAAACATGCAAAAATAAACGGAAAATAAATAAATAAATAAAGCAAATGATGTTTATCTCTGGTTTTTATTTGGTTTGTCTTGTTAAAATGTGGATTTCAGGTGGAAAAAAGGTGTTCTCACTTTTCAGCTTACTTCACTCAATAAATAATCTTTGGTTTCTGCGGCCACTTTTGTTTCTTATTCTTATATTTCTTTGTTTTCTCGGTGTAGTTTTTTGTCTGTTTGCTTTCGATATTTGATTATAAACTTTTGGCCACTTTTTCATAGATTTTTTTTCTTTCGAAAAACAGCGTGTTTGGATTACGTTGAATGATGTTTTGGTTTTTAGTTTTTTTGATGTTTAGTTTTTCCTCTTATTTTTATGTATTTTTTTATTTTGTATTTTGGTGTTTGGCGCGTTCGCTTTGGCCTCCGCATTCGCTGGGAAATGAGGGAGGCGCTTTCATTTCAGTTTCACTCGGCCGACTGGCCCAACTGGCGAAAAAATCAAATATAAACACAAATTTCGAAACTGTTACGATGGGAATGGATGGCAGAGAAAGAGCGCTAGAAGAGCACCAAGCGGAAGAGCGGTGAGCAAGGGAGAAAGGAGAAAGAAGAAAGGAGGAGACAGAGGGCGACAGAGAGAGAAAACTTGGGTAGACAAATGGGCGTTTGGCTTCTTCGATTGAGAACCGTCAACGACATCATTACTCAAACATATCAACAATCGCATCTTACACGGCAAAAAAAAAATAATCTACAATACCAAATACGGATACCAAAAAATTAAATAAAATTGTAATATTTATAAAAAGTTTGAATTTTATAAATATTTTAAGAGTTTTTCTTTGTTTTCAGATTTATTTATTTATAGATTTTATTTGTCATTTAGATGAATTTTGTTTAATATTGATAAGATATTTTTCAATAAAATGGTTAAAATAAATTTAAATAAAGGAAAATTATATAATATGTTTAAATAGTTTTTTTAGTTAGTTAAATTTGGTATTCCGAAATTTTTAAAAATTTTACCATTTAGTAATGGATTGTAGAATTATAAGAACTATTATTTTTTAAGATTTTTTTATGCATATAAATTGTCGGAATTTAAATAGACAAAAATATCAAGATAGAAAAACATGCGATTGACCAAAGGTCAATTTTCACATCAGCTAAAACTAGATTTTCCCTGTAGAGAAGAAGGAGAAGAGCCTTTACCATATGCCACATCGATTCCTAGGAAACTGCAGTCGCCCACCCCCCAAATAGCCCCCACCACCCCCTGCAGCGACGCCCGCTTGCACAACATTCGCCAGTTGCTATGGCCAATGCTATAATTATAAATACCTGCGCTATGTATAATTATAGCGGGGCAAAAGACAACACACAGGCACGCCCATATAAATAGAAACAGTGCGGATCGGAGATCGGAGCGGGTTAAAAATGAAAATCGAAAAATGTAAATGTAAAATAGAATGGAAACAATGAAGTGAAATGGAAGCGGGGAAAATGCAATGTCTACCTCTATGCCCCCTGATTCAATGATCATCCAAGTGCGATGATGACAATGATTTCGGATCGAACGAGGAATTTCCGGAAATGGGATAAAAAATAGATTCATTGGAATCGCTTTAGTAATCGATCGCACAGCTCTATTGATCTATTTTTAGGCTTGTAAAAAGAAGATTGTTTTGTTTTTTAACTAGATAATTATAGTTGCAAATGATGTATAATAAAAAAAAAACACAGCAACAAAGTCATGTTTTATTGTTTAATTCTCAGATTAGGTATAAATTAAAGATACATTTTATGATTCAGAGTTATAGTTATAGAACTAGTTTGCAAAACAAAGCTTTCTAGAAAGTATCTGCATTGTATCTGGGTTCTTATAAATCTTTCTTTCCCATCGCAATCGCAATCCAATTCCAATCCCTATCCTTAGTTTCTCCTTCCCCAAATGCTAAACTATTCTTGCCTAATTTGTGTGCGAAGATCAAAGATCAATGATCATCTTCATTAAGATCTTGTCAACCCTCCCACTCCACCACCCACCTCCCACCACCCACTACACCATCAATTTTTGCTAATTTGCATTTTGCTCGTGCCACCAAAACCGAAAAAAACAAAAAAAAAAAAAACGGAAAACGAAAACAGAACACAAAATGCTAACGGAAAATAGACTGAGGAATTCAATAAAACATTTTCACTGATTGGCAATTGTTCGTGTGTGCGTGATCTAACCAGCTAAGTGTGCGTGTGTGAGTGTGTGTGTGTTCTTTTTAAAAATAAAACCAGCAGAGTTTATAAAAGAACAAAAATAAATTCAAAGGAAAAACCGAAAATAACAAAAACGGCAAACGCGTTGATGAAAAACGAAGGCAGTTCAAATGGGATGAAAATGGGCGAATTACACAGAAAATAAAATATTTTGGTTGTATTTTAATTTCAACAATTCATTTTTAAATATTACAAATTTTTTTTTCAATAAATTGAATTATTTTGAAGTATGTTCTATATAATTTACTATATAATTATTTTCATAATCATGTACTTTTCTTTCGGTGTAAGGAGTGAGGCTATAGAAAAGGTGGGCGGTGGGCGGCGGGGTGTGGCAAGCAGAAAAAAACAAAAGACCACGTCGAACATAATGCTGCATATAAAACACTCTTTAACGCTAAATATAAAGATTTCAAACGAAAACAAAACAAAAGAAATGCGACGAGAAAAAAAACACACAAATTACGACAAAAATAAGAAGGCAAACTGCAGCCAAAAATCGAGGCATAAATAAATCCCCAAGACTATAAATTGAATGCAAGCAGTACCAGAAATACGAAGAAGAAGAAGCTGCTGCTGTCCTCAAGGAACAGAGAGAGGGAGGGGGTGGGGGGCGTGGCAGGGGCGGAGGTGCAGAGGGGGTCGAGCAGGTGGGCTGCTGCTGCACATGCACATGCTGGCCATCATGCCCGGCTACAGTGGGCACAAGTCGGTGAGAGACGAAGCAAGTGCCAACGAATTCGGTGCGGTACAGTACGCCCCCGCTAACAGCTACATAAAGATTATTTTTGATATTATCGAAATACTAAAATTTCAGTAAAAATAGGCTGTGATAGATTTCCCAAATAACATAATAAAACAAATTTTTTTTTCAATTTTCCTCTACAATTTAAAACATTTACACTACTCACTCTCATGTCTGATTTACCATTATGACATATTTTTAATTAATACCTATCCTAACTGTAATATATTAATTTAATTTATAATATTATCCTATACTTTTTATTACCACCAACTTATTTCCAATAAATGTATTATACAAAATTTTTTCAATATTTTCAAAACTATTTTAGTCCATTGTAGGCAGTGATATCTGTATATCCTCTGCACTCGCATCTTCGCACCAACATTTCTCGCTCGCTGTGCGGCTCTCGGCTCTCTTGACTCGGTTTCTGTCTATTTTTAGAGGATTTTATTTAAAAAATGCGCAAAAACTCATACATATTTTCGTAGTGAAAACAATAAATATAGAATCATTAAGTTGTACACGCGTTTAAATTTAGACTCCCAACAAGAGGAGCAGCATCGCATCGGCACACACACATACCTACGTATATATACACACACGCAGCCCAAGAGCCAGGCGAATAAAGTATAAATAAAGCGGAAAACGAAAAAGCCCAACAAAAATGAAACAACAACAAGGGAAATGTGAAAAAGCCAGCTGGAGAAACTGGTCAAAATAAATGGTGGATTATGGCCAAAAAAAAGTATCTTATAAGAATCCTTTTTTACTACATTAAATAGGATATGAGATTTTTAGAGATTAAAATTACCCCTATAATTGTTCCTAATTTACTATTATATTTTTCTAGATATTTTTTTTTCACAATATAATGACAAAAGCCCAAAAACCATAGCTCAAATCACACAAAAGTAAATAAATTCGATGACGATTATGGTGACGACATGATTTATATTTAAATTAACTCACACCGAGAGCTGCGACTGCTATTTGAACTTTAAAAAGTAATAAAACTTTGATAAGCATGTCCATGGAGACTCGGGTTTACTAAAGTCTATTTTAAGATTTAGGGTCTAGCATTTGTAATGACTTAATTTATATTTGAAACTCGTTATTATGACGAAACCCGTTTTAAATAACCTTTTAGTTGTCTGATATATCTGATATTATCACGAAAACCTCCCGAAATCAAACGACTATTTCATCACTGAACGTTAAGATCGATTCCTATCGTTAATCGGAAATCGGGGGAAGGGGGTTTTCGGGTTTGGGAACACTCACCTCCATGATCTGCTGATCGATATCCACCGCTGGATGGGGCTTGAAGTCCAATGTCAGAGTGCCCGGCGTTATGTGCAGCAATCGCTCATCGCTTCCGGCTTCTGATGGCAGATCTGCGAATTGACAATGTAAACACACAACTGAGCGAGCGAAATTGAAACGTTTCGGAGAGGGATTGGTGTATATTTTATATTGTACACATATAAATATACATATATGCATGTATACATATATGGGTAGAGACTCTATCTGGATCTGGAGGAGGTGTGACTCGCTCTCCGGACCGATTATGTAGATAAGGCCGCGCTTATCAGACGCTTTTAAAAATAAATCTAAAACGTATTTTGTCGACGCGTTGGACCCTCGATGGTTGGTATGTGTGTTTGTAAGTGTGTGTGGTTACACCGGAAAAACGAAAAATAAATAAATATTTTACTTATATTTCAAAATATGAATTAAATTGTATTTTGTTTCGAAAATACACCTGACTATTTAAGAAAAAAATAATTGAACTCGAAATAAACGGTTTGAGAGCGACTTGTTCTTTTGGATTTTTATCAGTGTATGACTATTTTTAGTAACCTTGTGCAGTACAAGTTAACAGCGATTACAACGATTTCCTCTCGACTTTTGCTTTAGCTTCTTCTTCTTCTTCTTCTTATTTTGTCGCACGTGACGCCCAAGCAACTTTTATTTCTCTCCCTCTCTTTGGCACCGCTCAAATAATTTGATTTGCTGCCAACGAAAAATGGTGAAACAAAAATCGAAAAAATCGGGATAAATCGGTTGGAAAATATTTCATTGATAAACATTGGCTGAGCAGAGAAGAGAAAGAGAGAGCTTTCTTTTCTTTCTTTCACTGGACTAATTGCGCGCCAATAAGAATGTCGAGATGACTAACCAAAAAGTCCAATTAGTAATGATTTCTTCTCCCTCTCTCTCTCTCGCTCTGTCTGCCTCTCTTTTTCTGTCAAGTGCTGATCTAATCAACAAAGTCGAGTTTTTTGGTCTAGAAATTTATTCTAATTGAATATTGGGCTGTTATGTGGCAGTGCTATAAATAGAGCAAAAAAGAGCAAAGCCCAAAAGCAGCAACAAAACAAAAGCACAAACGCATGTGCATAAGCTACAATTAAATTCATATTAATAGAAATTTACTCGTTTTTTGTTATAAAAAAAAACTATGTAAATCCTATTTAGTTTAAATATTTTTTAGATTCTGGATAACTTTTTTTCTACAACTTTTTGTCAAATTTCTACCTATTTTATTGGCAACATCTTGAATAGTACACTTTAATACCCTAACTTTATTTCGATTTTGGAGCTTTCGCTTTGGCACTATTACTTTGACCGCAGCTGTGGGTGGGGGCTGTCTACAAGTGTGTGTGCCGGTGCATACATATCTAACTGAACAGGCCGTGACCTGCTGCGCTGCTTGCCGCTCTGCTTTGCCGTTCTATTTTTAGCCGCATTTATAAATCGTGCATGGCTTTGGGGAGTATATTTAGAAGTGGCAGCACACAGATAGTACAACAACAGACCCAACTGCAGCAACAACAGTGCATATTGCACAAAAGCACAGAAAAAAAACACGATATAAAATACAAAGGAAAGCGTACACACAACGACACCTGCATATACATAAGTACATTTAAGTAGTGTTGTGTAAACTTAAAATGTGAAGACAAAATCCAAATTAAAATTTCATGCAAAATGCAATGGAATATGTAGAGCAAAGGCGAATTTGTAATACCCTTTCATTTACTAAAAATAATTTTTGGTTGAGAAATATACACCTTGTAGGGTTTAAACATGTTTATAAATTTAAAAAGTTATTTTCTGTTCTTTTAATCGTAGGGTATGCCGAAGTCTATAAGCTTATCCAAAAAGATGATAAGGGAAGAAAGAGAGGCACTGCGAGAGTGCAATTACAGGTGCAGTGAGTGGGAGAGCGATATTAAGAGAGAGGGAGAGTGGCTTGCAATCAGCTGTTCTTATTTTTTTTTGGCAATGCTGTTTTAAATAAAAGTAAATGCGTAGCAGGCTCTCTCTTTCGCTCTCCTAACCCACAACTCCACCCACTGGGGCTTTTTCTTCCAACTTCAAGGTCAATTTGTGTGTTGACATAGAAACCAGGCAACCAAATGGCACAACAAAAAAAAAGAAGCACGTGTGTGTGTGTGGTCGCAGAAGAAAAAAAAAACAAAAACAAAAAAAACGGTATACAATTTTATGAGAAGAACGCTGCTGTCATTGAAATTGAAATTGAAATTCAATTGGAAATTGATACGACAACAACAGAGAGTGAGAGCGAGAGAGCAGCTTGATATAGTCCCCCACACCTCCCACACCCCACCTTCCCCACCACTGCTCTATCTCTCTCTCTCGCTCTCTTTTCTTCCTTCCTCAATAAGTTTGTTTTGAGTGATAGCAAGGTTTCCATGTGTAGGTGTGTGTGCATTTGTATGCGTATTGTGTGGGTAAATTTCCAGCGCGCGCATTCTAAAAATAGAAACAACAACAGCTAAACTTTTGGGCCAGGCCAAAAAAAAAAAAACAAAAAAAATGCGAACGTGTTCCTTGTTGTTGGTGCTTTTTTGTTGTTTCGTATTTTTTAAAGTTCTAGGCCATAAAACTCAACCAAAAAAAAAAAAACCCCAAATATAAAAACACCCCGATTTTGCAGGCTTACCTTGACAAACGGAAAACCAACAATAACAATGATAACTAGAGTAGTTATTCGACTTTCATCTATCGGTTATAATGATCGTTAGATTTCTGGCATGATGTTTTACCCAATAAACCCAAGTCGAAATCCCGCTTTTAAAACATTGATGTATTATAGTTTTTAAACCGAAGGTTCTTGGCTTCAAAATTTCAGATAAGATCCATAATAACAATAATAATTTGATATGTTTAAAAACAAATGATTTGATACCAGAGATCCTAACACATTCAAATTATTTGATTTAATTCCGAAAATGACTCATCTAATTTGTGGCAAAATGCAGAACCATACTCTTTGGTGGATAAATGAAATGAATAAATAAACGCAGCGACGACGCCGCTTTCGATATGATTACCCCACGGTGAGGACAGTGGCGTGGCGGGGTTTTCTGGGAGGGGTTCGGGTTCGGGTTCGGGTCCGGGATTCCAAGGGCGATACATAAGCCCTAACGAATTTATATAACAGCTCAAACACACAGAGAAACAGGGCACAAACAGCGAGGCAAGTTTTATTCTTGGAATGCCATTACAATAAATGCTCCACTGGCACTGGAGAAAACAAAATAAGTGGGGTTTTCTTTTTGGCGGGAGGTTAGGGTTTGGATGGGTTCGGGTGGTTCGGGGGATTCGGGGGATACGACCTTCTTGCAGGTGCTGCGTGTTTCACAATAGAACACAAAAACACACAACAAAAGTAACAACAGAAAAAGGAAAAACTTTTCACTTATTGCGTCTTAGACAATCAATTTTGCCCCACATGGGGATGGATGCGATGTGAGTGTGCTTTAAATGCAAAGCTGGGCAATTAATTTCTATATATAAGTATTCCCCAAAATGTTCATTCCCGAAAGAATGCCAACACAATACGGAAATATTTTAATAACACTGTGCAGCATTTTTAGTGCTTTTTAAATTTACCCCGATGGATGCTATATTTTTGGATTCGTTACGAATTCCCAGGATAAACTGCGTTTTCAAAAAAGTTCCCCGACGCAAGGATTCTTAGCAAAAGGACCTCAAAGTTCGAAAAATGCAGAAATTGGCCAACTTTCCGGAGCTCTCAGAGGCAAACGGATTCATGGATTGATTCGATGCTAAAGTTTTTTAAAAGATACCTTCTTTATCTTTCAAACCCCATACTTAGAATATTTTTAGAATTTTTTTTAAGGCAGAAATAGATTTCAGAAAACATAGTCAAAAAACTTAAAAACATACAGCTGCGGTCAAAATAGTAGTAGTGTTGCCGCCCTGTGTTTTTAAAAGTTTGTTGTTGTAATTCATCTTCTTCTGGTGATATTGTATTGATTATAATTGTACTATTAGACTAATTGGATAAGAAAAGTGACAACAAAAAACTTTTAAAAACACATGACGGCAACACTACTACTATTTTGACCGCAGCTGTATACTTTTATGTTTTTTGACTATGTTTTCTAAAACTTGTTTCTCCCTTAATAAAAATCCTATAATTATTCTAAGTATGGGGTTTGAAAGATAAAGAGTGTATCTTTTATAAAACTTTAGCATCTAACCAAACCATGAATCCGTTTGCCTCTGAGAGCTTTGGAAAGTTGGCCAATTTCGGAATTTTTCGAACTTTGAGGTCCTTTTGCTAAGAATCCTTGCGTCGGGGAACTTTTTGGAAAACGCAGTTTAACTTTGGAATTCGTAACAAATCCAAAAATATAGTATCCATCGAGGTAAATTTTTGATGCTGCATAGTGTAATTATTGTAATCAAAGGAAATATAAATAGAAATATCTAAGTAAACTGCGGATATTATAAAGCTCATTATTCAAAATTATCAGTGTAACCTTAAAGTGCTTTTGAAAGGTAATGGGTTTACAGGTCGTTTAGGTTTATGAAAGTTTTTACAGGTAAACTTGGCGAATAGCAAACGTTAACAAGAATTATTTGTTAGCTAACTTTAGACTTAATTATTGATGGTTTTACAGTTTTTATACCCGTTACTCGTAGAGTAAAAGGGTATATTAGATTCGTGCAAAAGTATGTAACAGGTAGAAGGAAGCGTTTCCGACCCTATAAACTATATATATTCTTGATCAGGATCACTAGCCGAGTCGATCTAGCCATGTCCGTCTGTCCGTCTGTCCGTCTGTCCGTCTGTCTGTCTGTATGAACGCTGAGATCTCGGAAACTACAAAAGCTAGAAGGTTGAGATTTTCCACGCATATTCTTGGGCTTCCTACGCAGCGCAAGTTTATTTTAGCCGAGTGCCACGCCCCCTCTAACGCCCACAATCGCCCACTAACGATTTTAAAATGTGTCTGGCGCCCACACCTTTTAAGATTTCCGAGAAGTATAAATGCAATTTTGTCGTGCATATTTATACCTATCGAAATGTAGAAGACATTTTTCAAATCGGACCATTCATTAAAAAGTTATACGCAATCAAAATTTCTATATCTATCTCCCTCGCACTCCCTTTAGCTGAGTTACGATTATTAGTCGGGACACCAACCCGACTAGTGAGTGACGGGTATTAGATAGTCGGGACACGAACCCGACTATAGCGTTCTCCCTTGTTTTTTTAATGACAAAGACCTTGAAACAAGGACACCCTAATTTTGTAATTATCCAGGGGACATATTCAGTTGGAAATAAGTGGATAATGGATAATGCTAATCATCATTGGAGGGGGATTAATTATTTAGTTGGTTATTATCGAACAGAGGGGCAAAACCCATGATTACAAATTCACCACGTTTCTGTTTTTGTTTCCCAACCAACAAGAAGTCCTTGAACGAAGGTAAAAGCTAATTTTAAATCAACCCTTGACATTGCGAAATTTGCATGGCCCACACATATCCAGCCGAATAAGTGGATTATAATAGCTATTATCCAGGGCAGGGCAAAACTTTCTGATTATTAATTCAGCGTTTTTTTTTTTTTTTGATTTGAAAATGTAATTTTTCGTGAATTTCTAATGCCCTATCGATGATGGCCATCTGGACTTTCGCTCCAGAATATTCCCAAGCAATTAGACGGAGAGATCCTGGGAAACGGAGGAGCCATTGGAAAATGGTTGTGAGTCCCCGGAATCCCCTGAAATCTCCGGACGCGTCGGTGGATTGCACGTGGCAAACGGAAAACGGAAAACAGAAAAATGGGGAGTGGGAAGTGGGGCGAAATATGGAAAGACGTGGCCCGGGTCTCTGGGTTTCATGGGCTTTACAGGTCTCCGGGTCCGGTCGTCAGTCAACAATCCACACACACACACACACACACTCACACACAATACACATTTACACCATCCATTTGAAAGGCAAGTAAATTTTGTTGCTGTTGCTTTTGTGTCTAAAAATAGACGAAAATCGATAAACGAATGTTTTTCTTTTTGGTTGCAAACAAACAGACGGAGAGCAAAAACGAGAACGAGAATCGGGGAGCGAGAGAGCTGAGCACGAAGCGAAGATTACGGGGCTCCGTCTCCAAAAGCGTCTCCTCCACCACCCATCCTCCCTTCCCATTCCCATTCCCATCCCATCCCACCATCCACTGCCATTTTCTCGCTTTTCTCGCCTTCTCGCCACCCATTTTCCAGCCCATCCACGTGCTTGGCATTGGCAGTGGTTTCGATGGATGGCCAAAAGGAAAAGCGTCCAAGATTAATGGTGTGCAGTTAGCTATTTTTTGGACAAAAAAAACCGAGTTCAAAACCTTAAAAAAAAAACTTTAGTTTACGATTGATTTTTGGGTCTACTATGGGTTTATTATATGTCCATATCTAAGGAACTAAAATCCATAACTTAAAAAAAAAAGTTGTAATTTTTGTTTACCTGCATTTTATTTCATCAATATAAAACATTGAAAAGTTTTTTTTGTAGGTTAAATATAAATAATTAATTTAGCTTTTAGAAAACTAAAATCTTATATTTTTATCATACTAAACTAAATCTGTAGCTAAGTGAAAGATTATTTGTAGATATAGTTTAACAATAATATTAATATCATTTTTATTAGTAATTACTAAACTGCAATGTGAGAAACCCGACAACACTGGTCAGAACCCAAGACCAACCACCCAAGTATGATTCCCCATCACTATTACCACCCCCTTCCCCGCCCATCCTATATCTATTCCGTTTGCCGCGAAAGAGACGACCCGACCATGGACAATGTTCTTGTTGTTGCTCTCGGCCTGCCCGGGACAAAAAAGTTAGTAGATCCCACTGTACACCATCCCAGCAAGCAACCAACCAACCCACCCCCTTTCAACCCAGCCGAGAGGAGCAACAAACGCACAGTGGTTCAAGCTGTGCAAATATTTAACTGATTTGATTGACAGCTGGCAAAGAAGTTGCTCTGGCGAAACGGAAAGTACGTAGTATTCCTCACCATTTGTATCCACCATCTGTCACACATAAAGTTACGTACAATGGAAATTGCAAGTTGGTTACTTAGGGAATAGTTTTGGCCATTGTTTTCGAACTAAATAGGTCTCTTAAACATTTGCCTACATTCTCGCTGAAAGGCTGAATGGCTTAATTCAATAAAAATAGTTCGGAGAGAACCAATAATGCTTCTTGGAAGGCAAAATGTGCCAAAGTTGATTAAGTTGGCTCTTTATATAACTTAAAGATTTATTTAACATTTATAAGGCATTCAGCAAAGACTTGTTGATATGGTTATTTTTTTTTTCGTACCCATATGGTTAAGTTCTAATCTTGATATTGTATCTTTTTAAATTATCGTAAAACTTATTATATAAACAGTTTTTTGCTCTGAAAGCCCTCAACCCTTTTTTTCTGCCTTATAATTCCCAACCAGTCCCGTTATTCTCTAAATTTTTTAGTGTGACCAGCATCGGTAATGGCTAGCACATTATTCTACCTTATAATTCCCAACCAGTTGGCGCAGAGCTTTTAATCCCGTTACTTGCCAACCTCGGACCAATGTGCATCATCCATTGACAGCGCAGTTCTGGCCCGCTTTTGTGTATGTGCTTATTACAGTTATTTTTGGAAGGCAACACACACTAGCACACCAAACACACACCCACTCAGACTGTGTAAGCTTTTGTTTGAGCATGTATGTGTGAGCGGTCTGTGTACAATGTACATTTTGAGTTATGTATTCCGAATGTTGTTAATGCTATAGCTATATGCAGGTTACATACTATAGCTATATGCCAACAATCGAGGATATAATATAATAACCACCGAATACTGCCCTAAACTAAAACCCAATACAAAATACATATCTATGGGATAGGGGATTTGGATTTAGCAGGGTCCTTCGTTCCCACTTACCGTGTATTGGTATTCTATCGTCGGGACTAGACATTTTGCATATGGAATTGGGGGAGGGCGGAACCTGCAACAAATCAGAAAATCAAATTAAACAATATGCCAAAAAAATTAAGTTAAACATTTTTACAAGGGATTTGCTCTTTTTTAATTGGTTTTGCTTTATTATCTAGGAAACGGATCTATAACCACTGCAATTCAATAATGATTGATTATATTAAACATTTTATTGTCCACAAAATAAACAAAAGGATTTAAAGTACCCTTTAGAAATATTTTCTTCTTTTTAAATAAAAGATTAAATCTATCTGAACTTTACGATTCTGAGTCATTCTGTGAAAAATCTTTACCCATGGGAAATGCCGACACTTCCTCAAGCAAACACAAATAACAGATTTCATATATTTGTGTGCATAATTTTAAATATGAATGATTCCGCCAGACCACAAAACAAAAATTTCATTCAAAATAAGTTCCCAGAAACCGATAAACATGGAAAAATAAAGCGAAAAACAAGTGCCTGATAAGGCAAGAATTTTTGGAAAATTTTTGTTGTCATTTTCGGAACTCCGATAATGATATGCAAAAATAAACTCTTGTTTGTTTCTCTTCTCTTTTTTTTTTTGATTTGTTTACAGTCGAGAGCACTTGATAGGGGAATTTTTACTGATCGGAAATAATTTAAATGTTCGCCACAGGTGCGCCTTTTTGGGGGCGTGGTTGAAATAAAAAAAAACGATAACGAGTTGCCCTATTGACCTTCACAAAACAACACACATACATATGTGACGCACAAAACAATTTCCGTTCACTAATTACACGAGCAAATAGAACATAAACGACCAACAACCAGAAACCCAAATGGAAGAAATTGCATTGTAAATAAATTACGAAAAAACGATTTTATTCATAAAGAATTTAATCAAGGTCACACTGGCCAAAAGTCAAATTTCGTCGGGATTTCCAAATAATAATAATTTATTAATAAAAATGTTAAGTAGTTTTAATTGGCAGAAAACATTAAGTATGATTACTCAAACAAGCAAAAGCAAGGTCACACTGGAAATAAAGTCAAAAAATTCAATCTCGAGGCCACACTGTAGCTTAAAAGGGAATTTTAGTTACGGACAAGAAAATCCTTCCCTTAAACTATGAATCATAACAAATAGAAATACAAAACAATTACTTGTAGGTCTGAGGTTTTCTTGGGCATTTCCCTATTTGAGGCAATGTATGCTATAATGAATGTGTAAAAAACGAAATACTATTATGCGAATACAAATTAAGCTGCTTTACCATGGGCTTTCCATTTTAATTTAATTGAGAAGAAAATGTGAAAACTTTCCTCAGCTTTAATTTTTTGATACAAAATAAACAAATTAATCCGAGGGGCGGAGAGGGTCTAGAAGAGCTCTAAGTTGGCAGCCTCTATTTATCGTAGCGAGTCATATTAATTATAGTCATCAGTGGGTTGCATTGTGAGCTAGAAAATGCGTGTTTTTCACTGGGACGACGGAAGCAAACACAAATTACGTTGTAAAATAGGTTAAAACATAAATAAATAGGGGAAAAAAGTATTGATAAGTAATAAATAACCCAGTAAAATGATTTACGATCCTGGCTTCAGGTGACCAGTTACAGCGCTCTTATAATTCCCAAAAGGTTGCCTTTGCAACTGACCTATTTTCAATTGAATTGACCATGCGTACAGTGGGATAAAAAGCGAGTATTTTAGACATCTAAAAAAAGTAAGGTTTATTAAAATAAAATGGTTTAGAATTTAGTTCTTTAAAGTCTAAGAATCGCTTTTAGAAAACTACTAAATTTATTTGAATTAATTTCTTTTGCCATTTAAATTGAAAGGGTTTAGGAATTCCACTTAATGGGTGACCACTGTAGTTTATTCAATGGATAAAAAGGGGTAGGGTGAGAAGAGAGGGGGGCGAAGAGAGATCCCGCAGAAGAATGAGAAGTTCGGCTCAAAGCGAACAGAACAACAACAACAACAACAAAAGATCCGCAAATTCCATTCTCGTTGCTTTGTTGTTGTTACTGTTTTATTTTTTTCTGGCATCATGTTGATAACCAAGAAAAGAGAAGAAGAAGAGGAGGAGGAGAGCGAGAGAGAAGAGCAGAAGAAGCGAGCACAACATATAAAATAAACCAGTTCAATGCGCTTTGCGGTGGAGCTGGCTTTTATTATTTATTTTTCCTTTTTTTCTGTTTTTTTTTTTTGGGTGGCAGCCACATTTACAGCAACTTTACTAAGTGAACAAAATCAAATCATCAAATGCAGAGAGGGAGAGGGAAGGCAATAAAACGAGAGCGGTAGAGGTGGAGGGGGCGGGGGGAGAGCGAGAGCACTTCATTTAGCACGCACACACTTGTTACATAAATAACGGCGAATCGAGTGAGAAGCAAAAGAGACGAAAAAGAAGTCTGGCTGATCTAATAAGAATATGCTGTGTCTCTATTAAGAATACACGGGGCGAGGGCAAACAAACAAACAAACATAAATACCTCTTCCAAGTGGTGCAAACTGCTTGCTGCTGCTTTTGTTGTAGTTTGTATTGTCGCTTTTCCAACTTGTTCCACAAAATGCGAAAAATGATTAACGAAAATATAAAATAAATATAAATAACGCACGCTCTCTCACTCGGCGCGCGTGTGTGTGTGTGTTTGCTGTATATATATGTATACGTTGAATTCACGACTTTTTTAAGTTAATTTTTGTGTTGTTGCTGCTGCTGCCGTTTTTGTAGACGTATTTTTTGCGCTCTTTTTTCGCCTTTTTGCTTTTCTCTTTCGTTACTTGTTGTTGCTTTTGTTATTTTTGTCACTTCACAAGCAGTTTTCGCAGTTTCTTTTTCTGCTTTTGCCTCTTCTCCTCATCATCGCTCATTCTCTTTTGCTTGTTGATTCGCCCACAATTTGTACGTTTTTTTTCTTTCGTCGTTTCTGCACGCGCACGCACTTTTTGTTGTTGTTGTTTTGATATTTTACAAAAAAATTGAATATTCGCCGTGGAAAAACAGAAAAAAAAACAAGAAAATATTCTTTTCGAATTTTCGGGTTTTTTTTTAGTGGGGGAAAAACGCGCGATCTGCGGTTGGACTGGCTGGAAGCGAAAAATACAAATTTCTATGTTCCGAATCCGAAGCGACGATTATTTGATTATTTTATTAAAATAAAGACAAATATTGGTGTGGCCAGGCGGGAAGTGTGGCCGCAGAAAAACCACGGGAAATCTGGTTTTAGTAGATTTTTGTTTAGTAAATAAATACTAAAAATGATAAACTTTTTATTTAAAATTTTTATTTATAGTCCTACGTTTTAAGCTGTTTTATTTCTTGTTTTCGTTTATTCTGCCATTAACACGTCAGCTGTTATCGGTTGTATAAATTTTTTTCAAAAATACCAACTTTGTGGTCACACTGATAGAGATGGCAAAATATCGATTGGCAACTATCGATTAAGGGAATATTTTAAATTTATATTATTGTGTTAAATTTAACGTTTTAATTAATACATTAATTAATAAAAAGTTGTACCTGCCTGTTATCGATTGTTTCGCACAGTTATCGCTTCGAGTCCATCGCCAGCTTGTTATTGTTTGGTTTTGTTTGCTGCCCCTTTTGTTATGCTGGAAAGGGGGCCAAAAACGCGCAACGTGGAATAGAACCCCTCCCCCCGCCAAAAAGAAGGAAACACCTGTGCTGTCCCCACTTCACTTTCAGTTCTTGCGGGCATCTGTTCGGAGATCTCGATCTGCTGATCTGGCAAATACGACAGCGAATATCCATATAGGAATTCCATCCATGAGCGAGGCCAAGATGAACGGACGCTCCATACGCATCAATCGGCTGCCGGCCACCATAGTGGCCATCCTGCTGACCATTGTCCTGGTCTACTTCCTCAACTTTCACCAGGAGGAGCGGCCGGCCATTTATGGGATGCTGCGCAGCGATCATCCGAATCGTGTGAATCTCCGCAAGATGCTGATTGCCGCAATTCAGGCGGCGCAACGCGGTGGCCTCGAGGTGCTCGACGTGGCCAGGAGTCGCCGGCTGCGGGAGCGCAGCAAAGGGAAGACGGACGAGGGCGTCGATGATCCCTTCACCGATGCCGATGGTCGTTCGCACTGTGTGATGAAGCAGGGCCTTCAGCGCATCTTCCCGCGCGTTCAAATCTTCTCGGAGGAGGACAAGGAGCACTGCAAGCAGGCGCACAGCTATGATCTCGATCCCACGGTGCTGCATGAGACGGCGCAGATCCCAAATGTGGTGGTCAATGCCCAGGATGTGACTGTCTGGGTGGATCCGCTGGATGCCACCAAGGAGTTTACGGGTGAGGCTGCTATTTCGAAGTATATAAGCCACTTATATATGAATTTCCCCCCACAGAGGAGCTCTACGAGTACGTGACCACCATGGTCTGCGTGGCGGTGGCCGGCAGGCCCATCATCGGCGTCATCCACAGCCCGTTCAATGGACAAACGGCCTGGGCCTGGGTGGGCAACTCCATGTCCGAGTACCTGGCCAGCCTGCATCCGGAGCATCCTCCTGACCACCAGTCGCCCGTCATTACGGTATCGCGTTCGCACACCGCAGGGGCCAAGGATTTGGCCCGGGGCATCTTTGGCCAGGATGTCAGCCTGCTGACGGCGGCGGGGGCGGGCTACAAGGTGCTCCAGGTGGTGGCCAACAATGCCACCGCCTATCTGCACACCTCGAAGATCAAGAAGTGGGACATCTGTGCGGGAGATGCCATTCTGCACGCCTTGGGCGGCACAATGACCACGCTGAACGATCAGTTGATTAACTATGGGCCCGAGGAGTCGCCGGTGAATACGGAGGGCCTGCTGGCCACCTTGGAGCGGCACGAGGAGTACATGGACAAGATGGCCAAGTATAAAGAGGCGCACAACGGCAAGCTGGCGTAGTGACTCCTCCTCCTCATCGTCGTTTTAGGCAGCATTCAAAAATAGCTCTAAGTTCTAAAGAAGGAAACCTGTTTTTTCGTAATCTCAATAGCAGTGTGTGCGTGTGTTTTTTTTTGTTTTTTGCATAATTACGTTGGTTGTGGGGTCATGAACCCGGAGATCGCCCAGTTGGCTCAAAAACACAAAGAATAAACCTATTTTAAATTGTAATTTCTAGTTTGTTTCATTGCTATTCATTAATAAGTGATACCAATAGGAATGGTGGATTATTTAATTTAGGTATACCAAAGAAATATCAAAGATATCATACAGAATACAATTTAATTTATTTTTTAACTTAAAATTTATTTTTAAATTTTCAAATAGCTGTGTTTCGCACCACCCTTAGCTAGTACATACTCCACACTTAGCCAGTTACTCAACCATCGATATAAAGACCCGCGCACAACTATCGATAACACTATCCCAGAACAACACTCTCCCATCGCCATTAAAAACCAAGAACCTTTGAAAAGTAGGGTAACACTTTTTGGTACAAAAAAAAAGAAGCGCAGTGTATGTTGTTTATTATGCATTTGTTTAAAAAACAAAATTAATATTAACTGAAAAACTAAATGTGCGCTACGCCCGGCATGTAAGCAAGCGAGCATCGGTTGAAAATGGGCGGCCAAACGAACGAGGGGCGTGCAGATCGCCCCCCTCCCCCAACGCTGCCCCTCCCGCTGTTGTTATTCTTGCTATTATTCCTGACTGCGACGGCAACGGCGACGGCGACTGCGACTGCGACTGCGACCGCGGCAGAGGGGGGTCAGGTGCCGTCGACTGCGGAAGTGGGACAAAGTGCTCAAAATCCGGATGCCACCGCATCCTCATCCTGCCCACGGAAATGCAGCTGCCGCAACATCTCGGAGAACATTCACAGCCTGAAGATTCGCTGCGACGAGCAGCAGATAGCCAACTGGCGGGAACTGCAGTTCGGCGAGGATGTGGTGACCAGCGTGGTCAGCATGTAAGCAGGGATCGTAACAGGGTGTCTCAAGATTCCCAAGATTTAATACATATATCCCCCCATCTTGCAGCAACGCCAGCAAGAACTCCATTGCCCTGATCTCCGCCGAGGACTTTAGGAACTTCACCGAACTCAAGCGACTGGATCTCTCGTTCAACCTGCTCACCGAACTGGACAAGGACACCTTCGGCGACAGCCTGCGCCACCTGGAGAAGCTCAAGCTGGCCGGCAATGCCATCAGCCACATCTACGAGGGCACCTTCGATCGCATGCCCAAGCTCAAGCTGCTGTAAGTTGACTTTGGCTGTGTTTATAGCCTAAAAACTAAGATAATACCCATATATTCTGCATAGAAACAAAGGTTTTTAGGGATTAAATAGATGTGAAGTTCATTATATCCATTTATATTGAGTATTCCTCTGTAAAAGGGTATTTTTTAATGAAATCTTAACTATCAAATTGATTATAAATCCTATGTTTATCGTTCTTGATATATTTTTTAAACATAATAGCTATTTTGTAGGTTTTGGCTTTGTGTTATATAGATATTTTTTAGATTTTAGCTGTGTTTATAGCCTTAAAACTAAGATTATGATGTCTGTACATCATGTAGATATTCAAATACTCATTTATTCTGTATAGAAACAAAGGTTTCTAAAGGATTAAATAGATGTGAAGTTCATTATATTGATCTATATTCAGTATTCCTCCGATTAGGAATATTTTTAATAAAATCTTACGGATCAAATTGATACAAAATCGTATGACTATCATTCTTGATCAATTTTTTATATATAATAGTTATTTTGTAGGTTTTAGCTTTGATTTATATAGTTATTTTGTAGATTTTAGCCTAAAAATTAGGGTAATGATGTTTGATCTCCAAATATACATATATTCTTTATAAGAACAAAGGTTTTTAGGGATAAGATAGATTTTGAATTCATTTTATTGATCTTGATTGAACTTACAAATCTAATAGTACAGCAATCTTATGTTAATCTTTCTTGATATATATTTTTTTAAATGGTTGATGTTATCTTAAATAATAAATATATGATATTAAATAGGTTGATGATATCTTTATAGCTTACATAGCTCAAAAATAACCATATGTTCTCTATAAGAACAAGGGTTTTTATGGATAAGATAGATTTTGAGTTCATTTTATAGTATTTTATAGTATTCCTCTCTAAAAAGGTATATTTATTGAGATCTAATAGAACGGAAATCGTATCTTTATCTTTCTTGATGTATTTTGTTTAATATATAGTTAGTTTTGTAGGTTTTGCCATTTTAAAGTCAAGATGGCTTTCCTTTTTATTTATTTTCAAGGATTTTTAAGGATAATATCGATTTTAAGGCCATAGATTTAAGATCTTACAAAGGCAAATGTAACAACTCTCAACCTCTTTTTCCCAGCGATCTTTCTGGAAATCCCCTGGCCTGCGACTGCGGCCTCATCTGGCTGATTGCCTGGTCAACAAGCCGCGAGGTGCGCCTGCAGCCGCCGCCGAAATGCGAGACGCCGGTGAACTTTCGCGGCCTGCCGCTGAAGAAGCTGCGCGTGGGCAAGGACTTTCACTGCGAGACGCTGCAGCTGCAGCCGCTGCTCGAGCTGATTCCGGGCCAGAACCAAGTGGCCTTCGAGGGCGACGAGCTGCAGCTCAAATGCCACGCACCGCGTGTGGCCATCGGTGTGCCGCGCGAGAGCGAGGATCTGCCGACCAAGGCCTACGTTTTCTGGGGCTGGTCGGAGAAGATACGGGCCAAGAACTCCACCGATGATATCGTCTACCACGATCCCACCAAGATCTTCGGCGACGTTAACCTGGAGACACGCCACTCGACGGACTCGGGCATTCTGCAATCGATCCTCCGCATCGCCAGCTTGACCCAAAATCACACGGGCATGTGGGACTGCACGCTGCGCAGCCAGCAGGCGAATCTCTCGCAGGCCATTGTCCTGCATGTGGTGGCCAAGGGGACGCTGTACTGCGAGGCGAAAGTCATCCACACCAACAAGGGCACCTACCACTGGCCGCGAACGATGCGCGGCGAAACGGTGCTGCAGGATTGCGTCGAGGAGCCCAGCGATGCGTCCCCATCCCGTCGAGCTTCGCACGAGTGCGGTCCCTCGGGCGAGTGGCTAAATTTGGACACGGAGAGCTGTGTTTATGTCAGCGAGACAACGAGGATCCTCGAGCAATTTGCCAAGGTGAATCTCACGCTGACCAAGGGACAGAATGCCCTGGAGATTGCCCGCCGCCTGCATAATTTTACCCAAGCCCAGACGCAGCTGAATCGCATAAGGGATCCCATGGATTTGGAGTACATAGCGCGCACTTTGGTCAAGTACTTGGAGCAGCAGGAGCAGCAGGAGATTAGTCACCTGCTGATGGACATTGTTTCGCAGCTGCTCAACCTGCCGGCTCATCTGTTTCGGGCGGCCCAAATGGAGCAGGGAACGGGACAGCGGTTGCTGCATGTCGTGGAATCCTCGGCCATGCGACTGGCCATCGCCAGCACCCAGGCGGAATCTATAGAATCTATGCCCTGGCGGGGATTGCTTCTCGCTCAGCAGCGCAACCTCTTCGTGGAGTTCTTTAACATCACTCTGGAGGCCTTTGTTAGCCTCTCCTGCGTTTGGTTGGAGCAGAGTCCCCGGGGATTCCAGTGCAACAGCGCCAATGATACGATACCCATGTACGAGCATGGCGACATTGATGCCGCCATCCAGCTGCCCTACAGCGTAATTGGTAATAGCTCGGTGGCGCCGCCAATTCGCAGCCTCCGCCTGATGATCTCGCTGCACAGGAATGGCAAACTGCTGCCCAATCTAAGGGGCACGAACAATGAATCTTTATCCTCCGCCATCATTGGCATACTGGCTTACAAAAGCGAAGGTGAAGCGATTAACTTTCAATCTGCAGACGAGCTGGATCCCGAGGAGGATGTGTATCAGCAGCGGGTGACGGTGATGCTGCGCGCTCATCCGTATCACAATCAGCTGAGTGCCCCTCAGCCCGCCTGGTGGAATGCGGAGGAGCAGCGCTGGGAGACGAGGGTTTGCCAGCAGCACTATCAGCATCGCACGCTCGTCATGTTCAGCTGCAGTCGCACGGGTTACTATGGGCTGCTCCAGAGGAGCCTCTATCTGAATGACTTTCGCAGCGAGGAGTCGGGCAGAAGGTTCCGGCATCCACCGGTGGCCATCTACGCGGGATGCGGCCTGCTCTTCGCCTGCTGCGCCTTCAATGCGGTCACCTTTGCGGTTTTCGGAAGAGCTGTGCGGATCAATCGAGTGCAGCGGCATGCTTTGGTCAACACCTGGCTGGCATTGGGTTTCTTGGCACTGGCTTTCTCGCTGGGCATCTACCAGACCGCCAGCCAGGCGCAGTGCCGCCTGCTGGGCCTGCTGATGCACTACCTCGGCCTGTGCGTGCTGCTCTGGGTGTGCGTTAGCCTGAGCAGCATGTACAAGCGGTTGACCAAGACGACGTCGTCGTCGGGGGGAGGAGCAGCTAACCAGGATGTGGAGCCGGCGAGGGAGCGAAAACCCATACTGGGCATCTACCTGGTGGGCTGGGGCATCGCCCTGCTCATCTGCGGCATCAGCAGTGCCGTCAATCTGGCCGAATATGCCGCCTACGACTTTTGTTTCCTGCACAGCGTGACTACATTGAACGCGCTTCTCGTGCCTTCTGTAATTTTAGTCATATTTTGCGGCATTCTGGCCTTGTGCATCTACTATCAACTCAGTCAGCAGGCGGTGAATGTGCTGCAGCTGCAACAGCATCATCATCATCAGCAGCAGCACAATCGCCAGTATTCGGACAACAACACGCAGGCCACGGAGCACATCGATCTGGATTGGCTGGATGCGAATGGCAGTGCAACGACGACGGCGGCTAGGAAGGAACCAGATCATCTGCAGGAGCAGTACAGCACGCTGAGCAATCCGCTGAGCAGCATAGTCGACGATTTCGAGCGTTCTAACTTGTCCCATTTGCGTGGTCACATTATATTCTTGGTTCTCTATGCCGGCGCCTGGTTATCCGCCGCTGGCTATGTGAATAGCAACCAGGATCTGTATGTTATGAGCTTTGCAGGGTGCTCAGCTTGCCTTGGAATCTTCCTGCTGATCTTCTACAACCTGAGCAGGAATGATGCCAGGATGGCTTGGTCGCAGGGTCGAAATGGAGGCAACAGCAGGCCGGCCAAGATGGTGACCTACAATAATGGCAGTCAGGCGCGGGAGGCTCAGCCGACGGAAATGATGCACGCTGCAGCCGGCACGGCCATGATTAGCAACTCGATAGTGGCCTACAAGGCGAATCCCGGACCGGGCAGCCTGTACGAGGCCAACAACTCGGCGGGATCGCGCTCGAATAGCCAGTGTTCGCGCAGCATGAGGAGTCAGACGCGGAGTCAGACGAGGAGTCAGCAGGAGCAGCTGCTGCAGGCGAACGGTGCGGGTGGGGTGACCATAATAAATAATACTGGACAGGCAGGAGGAGGAGCAGCAGCATCTGCAGGAGGAGCATCTGCAGCAGCAATCCCACCCCACAGCTTGAATGCCCTGCTGCATGGCTCCAGTCACGACCTCATTCCCTCGGCGGAGATCTTCTACAACCCCAATCAAATCAACGTGGCCCGCAAGTTCTTCAAGAAGCAGAAGCGCCTGGCCAAGCGCAACAACTTTGAGCTGCAGCGCCAGACGATGCCGCAGATGCAGCTCCAAATGCAGATGCAAATGCAGATGCAGATGCAGATGCACAGCCAGCACAGCTTGAGCGATGCCAGTTCGGAGCAGCTGTACAGCAGGCATCACAATGCCATGACTTTGCTGGCAGGGGGAAGCAAGATAAACAACACGAATCTGCACTACAAGAATCAGGAGCAAAAGGAGCATGCTTCTAACGGAGATTCCATGCAATTCAAACGCTTTGTCCCGGCCAGTGCTTCTTCCGCTTCGAAGATTATGCAGGCGAATATCTACACCAACATCCCGGAGACTTTGACTCCGCAGCACGAGGTGATCAAACTGAGGGCCACGGGACGCACGAGGACTCCTTCGCTGCTGGATGAGACGCTGCACGAGCAGGATGACGACGAGGAGGAGGAGGAGGAGCAGCCGGAGCAGCTGGAGCAGCAGGCTGAGGCACCCGAGGAGGAGGACGCCAGCTCCCTGGACGAGCATGCTCCTCTGTATGCCAACACCTTGCCAACGCCGCCGGCCAGCGGAATGAGCAGCCTCTTCCGCCAGCGGGGCATCATCAGCAGTTCCACGCCGGTGAAAAAGCAGCCCAGTTTGGAGGCCATGAACAGCCTGGGCCTGCCGGAGGTCAGCCCGGCGCAGCCGCTGCTCCAGAAGCACGAGATCTACGTGTCCAACTCGCTGCAGGTGACCACCAGCAACAGCATTCAGCTGGACGACGACTTTCCCTGTGTCCTGATTCGTTTCAGCCAGCAGCAGCAGTCCAAATCGCTGAATAATATCAGTGAAATGTTGGCGAATTCTTCCGGTTTGGATTCGGATAATCTGGGCCATCAGGAGGAGGCCAATCAGCTGACGGGGATTGACGCCAGCAGCACGCTGGAGGAGCAGCAGTTGCGCCAGGTGCAGTACTCCTGCTCGAGCAGCAATCTCAGCCAGCTGAAGGCGGCGCAACATCATCCGATCGACACGGAGGACGATGGCCGCCTGCTCTCCGGCAGTCCGACGAACGAGAGCGATCTGAACTACCAGAACTCGGAGATCAGCATTCGCAGTCATGGGCTGTACGCTCCCCAGGCGGATAACGATTTGAATTTGACTCTGACCGACGATTTTCGCTGCTATCAGTCCTCGAATGCCAGCGATGCCGATGTGGATGTGCTCAACGAGTTCGACGATGAGTTTGTGGCCGCCACTGGTGGTGAAAGGGTGGTCAGTGGAGATGCAGAGCAGGATGACCACCAGGACACCTCCATCGATGAGCTGTACGAGGCGATCAAGTGCCGCAGTCCGCTGAGAAGCAAACAGGAGGCGGTCGAGCGGTTCGAAAGGGAACGGGAGCGAGAACGCGAGAAGGAGAAGGAAAAGGAGAAGGCCCTGGGCAATTCCCACAACGAAAATCTCAACGAGACGATAGAGGACGACAGCAGCCAGAGCAGCGTGATCTCGTACATCGATCCCAGGGCGGCCAGCTAGCTCCAGCCGATAGTTAGATGTATATAGGATATATATACAAGATACCCGACAACCACTCCCGCCAAAGTATTCCCACTCAATCCTAAGTTCGCCCACTCAACAGCCAGCCCACTGAACTTGTAATTTAGTAACCCTATTTATTACGACTAGTATTACTCCACTAAACTTTCAGTTTGACTTTTAAAACGGAGAAAAACGTTCATCATTTCATCACAAACCAAGTCCCACTCACTCACATTTAATAAGTTTTAAATTCGGATAAAGCAAAATGCATTTAAATGTAGGCTAAGTTTATATTTAGATATAAATAAATGAAATGTTCACTTAAAATAACTGGCGTTTGATCTATAACATGTTGTTTCAAACAATAACTAAAACATTTAGAGGCTTTTTAGATATTAGATTTAAGGTTTCGTCAAGAGATTACAAATGTGGCATTTAAGCTACTTGTAAAGTAGATACAATAATGATATTCATTCAACATTGTCATGGAGTTTGGGTGAGGAATGCCGATTATCATCAGTTTGATTAGCGTTTAAAGGTTTAATCTTAAGTTGTAACAATAACAAGAGATGTGTGTAAACTATAATAAGATAATACGATATTGCTGATGCCCCAAAGATCCGACTCCCTGGGCCCGTTGTGCATGTTTCTCATGGCAATGCTTCTCACTCTGCGGCTCCCGGAGATTCACAGACTCCGGATGGACTTCCAGCGTCGCAGCAGCAAACACGACGAGGTCAGTCCGCTGGAATATTGGCTAAATTCGCTAATGTTTATGTTGCGTGTTGGAATGTCGATTTTCTCTTTTAAAGTCTGTAAAAAAAAGGGGTTAATAGATCAATTAGCAAGGGGCTACGCAAGATGATGACCTTGTAGGCTTCTGGAATCTCCGTCGGCGATCTGTGCACAATCGTTCCGTTGATGTACAGCATATTGGCCGCGCTCTCCTCGGGCAAAGTCAGCTTCTGGTAGGTGAAGCTGCCCACCCGCTCCATCCGCTTCACGATGTCCTGGCAGGTGACGCTGCTGCTGACGGCCAGCACATCCGGTCCCGCCATGGTCACGTAGTACTTCAGCCTCTTGGCACCGTTTACCTGGAAAAGGAATGGGTTTGGTAAATGCTTAATAAATGCATACTAAAAAAAAGATGAGATGGGAACATAGATGGTTATTATAATGGAAAAAATAGTGAGTTTAAATGATTATAATGATATTTTAATGATTATAATAATATTTAAATGATCATAATAATATTTACAAGAGTCCAATAATATTTTTTAAAGATTATAATAATATGTAAATGATTAAAATAATATTTAAATGATTCTAAAATTATTTAAATTACAAGGTTTTAAACAAGAGTTATAGAAAACAGATTCACTAACAGAATAAGATGAAATGGGAAAATAGATTGTTTATTATAATGGAATAGTAGTGAGTTTAAATGATTATAATAATATTTCAATGATTTTACAAATATTTAAATGATCATAATAATATTTGAAAGATTGTAATAATAATTAAATAATCTTAATAATATTTAAAAGATTATAATTATATTTGTTAAATATTAAAATAACATTTAAATGATTCTAAAAATATTTCAATGAATATACAAATATTTAAATGATCATAATAATATTTTTGAAAGATTATAATAATGTTTAAATTACAAGATTTAAAGCAAGAGTTGTAGAAAACCGATTCACATGATAATAATCTTAAAGATAATCTCTAAATACCCGAATCGGCGTCACTGGATACTCGGGAAAGGCCATGGCCACCGCCCTGGCGCCCTCCTCGTTGGTAAAGCCAGAGATTCCAATAAAGAATTCGCGTCCTGAAATGACAATGATCATTAAATTCGGCACATAATAGAATTTATCGATTAAAACCCACCCGTAAAAAGCACATCTCCGCCATCGAGTTGCGCATGCGGATCCTCAATCTCGATGACCGGAATGTCTAGCTCCTTTTTGAGTATAATGGCCATGCTCTCGGCCTCGCGTCGCCGCTTGGCATGCTCCGATCTGCCAATCAGGGCCACTCCATTGCAGATCACCGCGCTGTTCTCCACGAAGACGCCCTCGGGCAGCTGGTCATCCGGCGGCAGTTCGATCACGTCCAGGCCAATGCTCCTCAGGAGGGTGCAGTACTGCTCGTGCTGCTGCTTCGCCAGCTGCACGTCGAACTCCCCGTTCTCCAGCAGGGCATCCGAGATTCTGGGGGGGATTTAAAGCGGTTAACAATGGTTTTATTGTCTGAATGATATATGTACTTAATGCATCCAAGTGTATAGTGTATTATAGAGTCTTTGAAAGGTCGTTGCACCCTAATATATCTAAATAATTGACTTACACCCACCTAATATTAAATCTTCAGATCAGAAAAATATTAGATAATTTTAAAAAATTCAATTTTTTAATAAGAAATCTAAAGAAATTAATTTAAATAAATTAAATACTATGTAGGGTATTTTTTTGATTTATTTTAGAGCACAGAACCCTGTGATTTTTTAAAACTGAGGTCAATATTTTAAGGAAGGGGCTTAATATATCACCAAAAACATTAAAACAAATACTAGATAGTAGATAGTGAATCCCGGATCCAGGTCCCTAGAATCTGGGTGGTTGGGTGGCTGGGAGCTGGAGGTGCGGCCCCACCCACTGGCATGTGTACCCACGAACGATTGGTTGGGTGACCTAATTTCGCGCCACTGGGGCACTCCCTCCTGCGGATCCGCCACCCGCTGAATTCCAGAGGCAGTGCATCCTGGCTATGGGCTCCACTCACCTGGCCACAATCGCATGTGTGTATTTGGGCGACATGGTGGGCGGATTGGCCACTTCCTCGGCGGGATGCAGATGCGGATGCGGATGCGAAGATGCGGATATCAATTGGAGATGGGCCACAGTATGACCGTATGGCGAACGCCAATAAAACTTTTCTCTACCCCTGCTGGTCACTCTGGCAGTCACTGGATATTTCGAAACGATATTTAATATTTATTACCCAAAATATATTTAAGTTAACCTTATAAATAAGCTTAAATTTAGAAATAAATATTTAAAGAATATTTTGATTAACCATATTTTTCCTAAAATAGATTTTTAACAATTTTGTAACTGTTTTTAATTGAATTATTTGTTGTGAAATCTTTAAAACGTGACTCCCAGTCACGACCCTTAAAAGTAGCCCGCTCTAGCGCTATCGATAACCCGCCGATAACTAACGCATACACATCGCCAATTTGGGCATTTTCCTTGCATGCAAATTGCAAAAGTGCGTGCATTTTCCGCATTTTCCCGCGCGCACAACCCTCCGGCAGCCGTGAAATTGATGCCCCCAGTTGCGGACGAGCAGTAGGCATGGACGAGGGTGAGTACATGTGGCCTGGCCAATCCCCGCGAGCGATCCACTGATGGCGGCGTCTCTCTCGTGCAGATTATTCGGCGTCATCTTCGGCCGGCGGTGGCGGCGGCGGTGGAGGCGGTGGAAAGAAGGCCGGCGTGGGCAAGCAGCACAACACGCTGCCCTTCTGGGGCAACGAGACCTCGATGAACCTGAATCCCCTGATCCTGGCCAACATCCAGAGCTCCAGCTACTTCAAAGGTGCGTCTATCGGAGTTAACTTCCCCGGTTTAACCCGCCTTTTTTTTCCGCCGACAGTTCACTTGTTCAAGCTGAAAACCTACCACGAAGTGGTCGACGAGATCTACTACCAGGTGAAGCACATGGAGCCCTGGGAGCGCGGATCCCGCAAGACGTCCGGCCAGACGGGCATGTGCGGCGGAGTGAGTGGTTTATGAAATGTAGCGCTAATCGTTTGGCGATGCCCCCCTGGAATACCGCCCGAATCTGTGTGTACTCATCCCTCGCTCTCTGTCTCTTCCAGGTGCGCGGCGTCGGCGCCGGCGGCATTGTGTCCACGGCCTACTGCCTGCTCTACAAGCTGTACACGCTGCGGCTGACCCGGAAGCAGATCAACGGGCTGCTCAACCACACAGACTCGGCCTACATCCGGGCACTAGGTAGGTGTTGGTAAGTCGCATGAGTTCAGCCGTCACAAATGCCGTCGCTTGCTCCTGCTCCCTCAGCACACCAACTCAATCCGAACCCAAATTAAACCCAACCAAACCACACCAAACATCACCCCAAAAAAAAAAAAAAAAAAAAACCAACCAGGGTGGGTCGATTTGGACAGGCTACTTAATAATAGAAGGCCAGTCGAGAGTGGTGGAACAAGCTCCTTTCATTTCCTAGCATCTCCTTACATCTGCCTGCAAAGGTAAACGTTATTATAGTTGTTAAATAAAAAAACTTATAATTGTGCTGAGTTTTCCCAGGCAATTAATTCATACAGCATGTGTTCAGCAATTTAAATTGTAAATTATTCAATCTTGAATTTCCAATTTTGCCTTCTGATTGTAGGAAGCTTTCGTTTTCCGTAAAAAAATTTTATTTTTTTTATGTTTTAATAAAACATTGCATGTTTTGCCAATAGCAACACAACTAATTTCAAGTAAAAGAAATTGATAACATTTCAATGATTAAAAATCTATTAAAATCAGTAGGAAACAATAGTAATACTCTTTGAGCTTTTAAAAATTCTCCGCCCAACAAATCGAGCCACCCTACCATAAACACACACATCCCCCTTTGGCCAACCACAAGCTGAACTCCCCAAAAACGCTTCTAATCCCAAGTGTATCCTCAATCCTCGCCCCAGGCTTCATGTACTTGCGCTATACGCAACCGCCGAGCGACCTATACGACTGGTATGAGGACTATCTGCAGGACGAGGAGGAGATCGACGTGAAGGCGGGCGGCGGCCAGGTGAGTCAACTGTATGAGCCACCAATCACACGTACCCCACAACCGCCTCGCAGCGAACTCGTCACTAACTGGGCTTCTTTCAGGTCCTAACCATCGGCCAGATGGTCTACCAGTTTATGACCAAGCTGGACTGGTTCTCCACGCTCTTTCCGCGCATCCCCGTGCCGATTCAGAAGCAGATCGAGAAGAAGATCGAGCAGTACTGCAGGGAGCAGGGTCTGACTGTCAACCAGCTGAGCTCGGGCCGATCGGCGGGGGGTCAGGGTGCCGGTGGAGGTGGCACCGGGGCCGCTGGCCAGGATGCCGACTACCAGGAGTACCAGGATGGAGGTGCGGGCATGGATCGTGGAGGAGGTCGTGGCGGTGGACATGCCGCGGCGGCCTCCAATGCCCGGCCAAATGCCTACCCGCCGCCGATGAACTATCGCAACGATCACGACGATCGTGACTACTATGCCGCCGCCTCGGGCTCCTCCTACGCCCGGGGTCGCGGCGGCTACGAGGACTACCCACCGGCACCACTGCCGCCACAGATGCCTTACGGTTCGGGCGGGGAGCGCGAGAGGGAGAGGGATCGGGTGCGGGACAAGGAGAAGGACTACGACCGCCACCGCAGCAAGCACAAGAAGAAGCACAAGCACAGGCAGAGCTCGCGCAGTCGCAGCAGAAGCCGCAGCCGGAGTCGCCACCGCTCCGAGCGCCACGATCGCAAGCGGGACGGAGGTGGCTACGAGCGGAGCAGCAAGAGCCGGCACAACGAACACTATGAAGAGCGGGAGCGACGTCATCGGTGAAGACCGATTCCAACACCCACCAAACGAACCCACTTCTTAAGTTGTTCCACTACTAACTCACTTTGTTTCCGCCATCAAGCTGTACCACCTTTTTACCTTTTTTTTTATTTGTCAATCCCCAACTCTACTCTTTGGAAGCCGCGGTCGACAGTTGCGCTTCTTACTCAGGTTAAACACTCCCCGAATGCCCCCAATTCCCCATAACTAACACTAAAACTAGACACAATCACACTCAGACACAGCAGCAAGGCTATATTTTGTAATTTGTGACTACACTTATGCTGATAAAATAGTTTCCAAGTTGTGTTTATGCAAATAAAGTCAAAAATAATTTGTTTAAAATGGTTCATTTGGTTTATTTAATTAACTTGTTATAGGAGGATTACAAAATATTAATTTTTGTGTATTGTATAATTTTTTGCGAAAAATCTCAAAAAAATAAAATGTCTAGGTTAAAATGCCAATCGATAGGATATTCAATAACGAGATCAGAAAAGTTTGACACTCCATATTTGGATCAATATTTCCATTGTTATGGTCAAAAAAACAATAATTTTTTTGTAAAAACTTAAAGTCTGGGTTTTTGGTAAAAATTTGAATTTTTTCTTTTCGTTTTTTTGCTATAACTTGGCCAAAAATGATCCTACACCAAAAAGACAAACTGTTTTGAACAGATAACAAAATAAGAAATAAATCCATGACACTTTCCGGGTGATCTTGCAAAAATAAAATTTTCGACAATTTTCATTTTTTTTGTAAGGGGGTACATCATGATTTTTTGCGAAAAATTTCAAAAAAATAAAATGTGCAGGTTTAAATGACAATCGATTGGAAATTTAACAACGAGTTCAGAAAGGTATGACAATCCATATTTGGATCAATATTTCCATTGTTATGGTTAAAAAACAGATTTTTTTGGGGAAATTCGGATCTGAGAGGAACAGGGTAGCTCGATTGGCGGGTCTCTTTTCGAGCTTTGGAGCCGAGCGCTGAATTATAATCGCCAGTGCTGCGCACAGATTATCATTGGCAGCTCGGATCGGTCAGGTGCGACAGCTGGGACAGGTGAGGCGGCCAAGCCTCCTGGCCCCGGAGCCGCCGAATGCCGAATGGCGAAAGCCGAAAACCGAATTTCGAATTTCAGTTAGTGTGCAACGCCTGCGCCGAGTTGTCGCCTCTCGTTCGCGTCGAGAACAGAACAGTCGAAAAGCGGCGAATCAAATGTAATTAGCATGTGCCAGCACCATTAGCAGAGCCACTTAAGCCACCAAATCCGAACTACAAGCCACTGCCGGCGGCACACATGCACCAAGATATCATATCAATGTCAGGCCAAAAGCAAAAACAAAAGCAAAGGCAAAGGCAAAAGCAAAAAAGCAAAAACGAAAAGCAAAAGCCAAACCGGAGTGGATGGAGCGAGCAACAGTAAACGGCACACAATTCACGCGTGTGCGAATGCGCGCGTCAAATGGCCCGTTTTGACCATTTTGGGAAAAACGGGCTATTGTGTGTGTGTGTGTGTGCGTGCGTGCCTGTGTGTGCTTGTGTGCCTATGGCCATAAAACATGGATAGCGCCCAAAAGCAAATGTGCAAAGTTTATGGCTGGGCCAGCACCTTTTCTCCGCTCTCTGCTCTCCTCTCTCTTCCCCTCTCTTCGGCTTTTAAGCTCGGCCTAAGACAGAGCTGTCGGGTTATGGGTGGAAAATAGCTGTTTTTAGCGGGAACCCACCCAGATTAAACGTATTTTTAATTGATTAGAATATATTAAACTTGTATTTCATGTTGCATACTTAAAAGGATTTCTATATTTCTAGTGATACATCTTTATGTTTATTAGCCTTTCATAATTATCCTATATGCACCTTATGAAAACTTTTTTTATTTTAATATTTTTATTACTTTCCCTTACTTTAAAAGCTCCTAGAATATTATCAGCTTAAATTTGTTAGTGCTCACAAGCTAATTAAAGGTTTATATCCTAAAGCCTGAGCTTGCACTTTAATTTGTTCATTGACTTTGTGAAATAGTAAATGACACTTGGCGTACGTGTCGTATGAGTAATGTTCAAATACGTTTTAGTTCTAACAAAGGCGATGTTTTTTTTTGCTTTCTATAATTGTATTGCGCAATTATTTAAGATAGTAAGTAAGTTCGATTTTCCATTTTATTGGAATTTTTTTCCTTTGAAAATATATTACTCATACGCAATGTGGCCTTTGTGCACAGGGCGTATGAGTAATTTTGACTTAACTTTTTGAAATGTTAATTAATATGAGTTGCGTTTTCTAGGTATTTCCCACTAAAAATTAAACTAAGTATTATTTTCAATAGTTACGACAGCTTAAAGAGAGATAAGCATAACTATGTTAAGAATGCAGATTAGTGTAGACGTCTATCTGGAAAAAGGCTGACCTGGTAGCTCTGGTCTTTGAGGGGTTTTGAGAGCTTTCCGAGCTTCGGAACCGCGATTTCGGTCAGTGGGGCAACAGAATCGGAATCATCGGGCGTTACGAAGGGGCATTCGGAGAGCAGGCGAGAGTGCGAGAATGCAACTGGTCATTATCCTTCACTATTTTTATGAGCGCTCACCTTTATTTTTTCTTTTTTTTTTGTGCTTACTACTTGCTTCTCTCGTCAAATGAATTGACGTAATTGCCCGAGCGCAAAACTTAGCCGTATATCGATCTCGATCGCAGGTGTGTAAACCTAAAGTGGTTTTGATTTCACAACCGCAGAAGAGCTGGGGGGTGTCTTACTTTAAGCTGTTACCACGTCATTCCGCCGGTGCCTATCAGCGTCAGCAACTAGCGTCCGTGCGTCTTGTCAGTCAACAACAAAAAAAAAACAAAGTATATTTATATGTATATATAAAAAAAAATGTATGAAAACGACTGGGAAACAACAACGCACACAGAGCCAGAACACAAAAAAAAAGCGACAGAAAACGACAGAAAATCACATAAAACAATAAAAAAATTGCATTTTTTAATTGCCCCTTGTTATTTATACCGCCTGCGAGGAATCGACGGGGGTGGGGCTCGGTAAGGAGTTGAGTAATCACCGCGCCCTTGTCTACTTGGTAATCAACCCCCCACACACTCTCTGTCTGAGCTGTTGCGTCTGCGTTGTTCGTCGACTACTGACGTCACAGCCGCTGGCGACTTGGACAAAGTGCGATGCCGCACCGTGGGTCACCCCTCATCATCATTATTATAAACATTATACGGCCATCATATCATCATCATCATCACCATCGCACCGTGGAGTGGGTGGGGATTTCGCAACCAGTGAATCACGTGCTTATCATAGGAGATTCAGGGCCTACAAAATCTCTGTCGATGGGAAATTTGGTTTTATTTTCAAGAAGTGTGATAAAAGTAAATGAAAAACCATTTTAAAGCCCATGGGACTTATACGTACGTATACGTATAGTATTTATTGCAACTCATAACAAATTTTGCAATTTGCCATGGAATTTCTGCAACTACAATCAGTTTTGACGCAGGTCGTTGGTTGCGGTTGAGCTATACGTATGTACTGACATATTTCGAAAGTCATGTACGCAAACGGTTTTACTAAAGTGGTCTGTTCTCGGGTTTATTTTCGAGGAATTTAATCGGCACAGTTATTTATATGTTTTTTTTTAAACAAAAATAATACTTTTCCCGAGAAAACTTTAAGGGAAACGATATAAAATTGTGATTTGCGTCATTAGGTCTGATAACTATAACTATGAAAAACCAGCTGGACACTTATTTATAAACAAAAAAATACTATATATATATGAAGACGATACAGTCCGAGTTACATTTATGTGTTTCTTAAATTCGGTGGAGTAAAAAATTGTTTTTAAAAGATACTTTGCTAAAGGGAAATTCTTTTAATATTTTAGAAAAGTAATAAATCAACAGATGACAATAATCCTTTAGTTAAACTGTTTAGTTAGCTTTTGAAGGCGTACCACAAAAAGCCCTTAAAAGGGGAACTTATTCCAGTTAATTGCGTAGGCGCCATAAAAAATAATTTGTATTTAATTTGTTTTCTGGGAATATTTCACAGTCAGAGTTTTTTTTTAATTTTTTGTTTTTGTTTGTTTTTGATTCAACTGAAATTAACGCAAGAGAGGCGATAAATCACCGTTTCGTCCCATTGTGCGTTAGTGATTGTGCGCTTGTGGTGGTGCTGTTTGTGCTTTTGTTGTTGCATCGGGTCGCATCGCCTGTCAGTCTGTCACTGTGTGTGCTGGTGTGCGTGTGTGCGCCGTGTCCGTGTGCTCTGTGATCTGTGCTTAAATGCAATTTACAATTACGCGCGCCAATTGGAGCAGTTACCGGTGTGTGCGTGTGTACGTGCGGGATCATTGCACATTGCGTCAACGTTTCAAGATCACAATTACAATTACCCAGTAGCACCAACCTCTGAATTACGAGAACAGAGCAGCGAAAAGGCAACCGAAAAAAAGAAGAAAAAATAAAATTATAGAAGAAAACTATCAACAATAATAAGCCCGCCCGCAACAGCTGCTCTCCGCCTCCCTCTCCTCTCCACACCACTCTACTCCTCTGCTCAACAATTCTTCGCTACAATTCTTCGCAAGCCCGCCCCCTCTTGACTCTCCCCCCGCCGCCCCTGTGGAAACGGGGCAGAGCTGCAGAGCCGCAGAAAGCGATTTCAGTTCGGCGACGACAGCGCACAGGTGCCATTCGGAAAGTGCGGACGTAGAATGTTTGCCGGGGATTCCGCAGTCATTTTCACCTTCGATTCTTGGGCGCCAGCGTTATTAGCGAGTTAGTACGGGATCTCGGCCTTATATATCATTCCTTGTTAAACTAACATAACTAGGCTCTAACTTATTCTTGTTTTCTTTCCTCCTATCTCCTTTTTTCAAACACTTCTTCTTATTACTCCCTTTCCTACATGTTCTTTCCTAACCTCACTCTTTGTATTTTATCTCTACCAACTTTATTAACTCGTCGTATACCCTTACCCACATTTTCTTTCCTAACCTCACTCTTTGTAGTTTACTAGTTGTCACTGTTCCCTTTACACTGTTCCTTATATCCTCTTTTCCACCTCCTTCCTTTACCCCTTCCGAAACCCCCTTCCTTTACCCCTTCCCAACCCCTTACCCGCGAATAACCCATCCATCCATGTGAGATGAGTGCGTGCGACGGTTCGGGAACGGTTTCGCGAACGTCTGACGCCCCCGCTTTCCAATTCGATGTCATGCCAAAGATAACGACGCCGCCGTCGACGGTGACGCCTATGCTGGCGTCGGCAGCGCGGGCGAAAACGACGAGAGCGGTTAAAATTGAAAATAAATGGCCGGCGGCAGAGGCAACGGCGTTCAGTTATCAGCGAGCAGCGGAGCAGATTAGAGCTACAGCCAAGGCGACAACACCCACAATAACCACCCGACAGAGAACTGGATTAAACGAGATCTGCGCTGGCAATCATCCATGTGAAGAGCTCTCCAACAAGTTGGCCCTTCGCAAGGCTCAATTGAAGGCGGCCTTTTTTGGCATCAACGCAGTAACGGAGTACAACAGCAGCAGCACTACTTACCGCACCGCTTACCGCAGCAGCACCACCACTTACCCGAAAAGCAAGCCGGTGCAACAGCTGATCCATCACTACCAGGCCATGATTGTCCAGCAGCAGCAGCAGCAGCTGAGCGAGGGGGAGCGGGATCGGGAGCCCAAGGTGCTGGCCTCCAATTCGGACGAGGGCTGCAATGTCACCGGCGGCGGACTGAGTCCCTACAGCAGTGACAACGAGGACAACACACTGTCGCCGCGCCAGCGCAAGCCGAAGGTCACCCGTTGTGCCAGCAGTGACTCGGCTTTGGGTCTCGATGTGGACGATGGCCTGGCCATGGATGTGGGCATGATTCCAGTGCAGCGACGCAACACACTGACCGTCACGGATCTGCCCCTGCGACCGGCCCTCCTGCCCCTGGCCGAGCCCACAGCCCTGCCCGATTCACCGCTTACCTCGCCCACCGGGGGCGCCAATTCGAGTGTTGTGGGCGTGCCCACGAAGGTTCTGCTCGAGGAGCGAGTGGTGGCCGCCCCGGGATCGCGTCGCGAATCCACCCAGAGCTCCTACAGCGAACTGGGCGGCAGTGGACTGCCCCTGGGGGTGCGCTATGTGCGTACACCCTCGGTGGTGGTCAGTGACTACTCGGATGACATAACCGCCTGCGGGATCAGCATGGAGGAGATGGAGTACTTTCGCCTGCAGCGGGCGCGTGTCCAGCGTCGCTGCTCCCTGGAGGCGGGACATGGTCATGGTCATGGACATGGAGGAGGAGGAGGATCGGGAGGAGCGGCGGGAATGGCGCCAGGATGCGCCAAGGACGAAGGCCAGTCGGATGTCAGTGCGGCAAGCAGTTGCAGCAACCTGTACTACTGCGGATCCACCATTTCCGCCCTAGACGGCGGCGAGTGCATCGTCAACGGCATCCGGGTGGCGCTGGCCAGGAAGAGCAGCACCCAGAGCAGCAGCCTCAGCGGCGAGGAGGATGGCGATGATGTGGAAGAGGATGGCGATTTGGAGGATCTAGAGGATCGCGACGAGGAGGAGGAGGATTACGAGCGGGGGGATCACGATCACGATCACGATTGTGAGCGGGAGCGACAGATCAGCGAACTCCTGGCCGCCACGCAGCTTGGCGATCGTCAGCGGGATCGATCCAAGAAGGTAGGCGCCCGCAATGACGTCACAAACCAGGGAAATCTCAAACTAGACTAGTATATATATGAAGGGTGTCCTTCAGCAGAAGCAGCAGCCTAGTAAAATTAATATTAATCTTTTTTTTTTTGTGGCATTTTCGAAGGCATAAAAGAGCAGTGAATGAGGGCAGGTCTGAATGGCAGCGAAAGAGATAAGAAAGTTGGTGCATATACACAGGGAGAAAATCCCACTATGTTGTTTTAGAGCAGTATTATATCTTCTAGTTTATGAACTGCATAATAACTTTACAAGAAACAAGGAAACCAAAAGAAAAAGGAAAAGACTATGATAATAAGACTTATAACAATATATTCATTAAATATAAAACAATTTTGTTTTAATGAACTTGAGATCCTTTAAGAACGGTAATCCCCTTTATCAGCCCCAGCTTTTTCTCACCGTGTATATGCAGGTCTCTTTGCGATTGCGAGTGTGTGCGTTTGCTTAAAAGGCTGTTAATTAATTTGATTTTTATCTTATCACTAAAATGAGGTTCTGTTGCTCGGAGAAGTCTTTTTTGTATTCTCCGCTTTTCGTTTGCAATTATTATTATTATTATTCTGTGGCTGTTTTTTTTTTGTTTTAGTTTTTTTTTTTTTTGTGTGAATGGAATGAGAACGATATGATGGAGCTAAAGTTGAAAAATAAGGGGTGCCTTGATAAAAAAAAAAATACATACATATATCAACCGAAATACGAAAAACCTCGGTTCGGTTCGTTCATTCCTTTTTTTTTATCTAGAACTGGAACAACGACAACAACACAACGGCAGCGACAGCGACGAAAAAAAAACAAAAAACAATAGCTTATCTTAGTTAACTGTATATTGTATTATAGATAAATATTATGTACATATATAAGCCAGCACATATTTACCTTTATATAATGGCATCTTTTTTGTGATTATTTCCTTTTTGTTCTTGTTGTTGTTGTCAACGGACGGCAGAAAGTTTGTAAAGCAAATAAAAGTATTAGAAACCGAATTTTCGGAGTCATGATAACGATAATAAAGCAATCCACCTGGATATGTCGTCGTCTAAATGTACGTATGTCTGTATGTATATGCAAGAGATATGGATATGTGTGTTGTCGGATCTTAAGTGTGTCTGTGTGTATTTGGTTAATAATGTTACGCGCTTATCAAGCGGGTTTATCTCCCTGGCATTTATATAGTATATAGTATATAGCGCCCTCGCCGCCGACGAGCCACAAAAGCAATAATCGGAGGGATCCCAGAAATGGCCCGTTCTTCTTTTTTAACCCACGAGGGTGGAGTGTGCTTAATATACTATGCACATTGTTATATCCGTGATGATCCCATCCGTCGGACTAAGTCAATTGTATAACGTTCTTTTTTTTTGTCACTTTTTTCGGGGGATGATATCGCGATATCGCGCATACGTCACCGTTCCCATTAAGACCTATATGACACACGAGCCCTCGAGTCGGTGGGGATTACTCCATAAGTCACGGGGATTGTGTTAACGACTTATCACTGCTGATAAAAACTCACCGAGATGAAGACATTTCTGCAAGCTTAATTAGTCTATTTCACATTTAATTACGTCGTGTGTGTCAGTCATATAAACCAACTTGAAATTCCATCGAATCTTTAGGATCTTGTATTTATTTTCATCTCATAATACAGATCACTTAATTGTTGACCCAGTTTATACATTTGCATTCGCTTTTTATTCAGCCTCCACTTCTCTGTGAGATAAACTCCAATTTTATTAGCATGTCATTACAAGTTCCATCCGCATTTGAATACGATTCTTATTCAACTTCCGTCTTTGCCTCTATTTGTTAGGGGAATCGCTTAGATGTGCTCGTGAATATGCCCTTGCTAAATTCCGAATATATCTGTAAGTTTCAAAGTACAAAAGTAAATATGAAATTCTCATTAATGTAAGTTATTTTATCCATTCAGTACTTCCTTGTACCGCCCTCAAGATTCATTCATATTTCGAGTCATTATCAGAATTGAATATATATATATCATATATCATGAGCCACATGATGCTGGGCGTCTGTTAGTTTCGCCCGATATCTCCAGTATTTGGATTGGCATTCTTGGGACCCCTTACTTCCTGGTATCCTACTCATCCCACCGCCTGTCACCGCGCCTTATCACAGTTGTCACTATAGTTTCACCCCGAAAAAAGGGGGAGGGGAGAAGCCCCGAGGGAAGATCTTGTTTATATATTCTTCGCATTCCATTTATGGAATGGGATAGGATGGGTTTTTTTCTGTTTTGTTGCTTTCATTGAGATGGGATCTAAAGAACTGAAGGCCCCGAGGCTGTCTTCGCATTGTTTTGTTATTGTGAGCTCTGTGGACACTGCGGCGTGGGCTTCATAGAAAAAATGCCTTTTGCTTACTTAAAGATAAAGCCCCTGTGTGGGTGCCCCAAAGTCACCGACAATATAGCCATTTGGTCCGTTGACGTCGCTGTGACGTCACTGGGGTGCCTTTGTTCACCGCCCCCCTCTGATCTTCACTCCTCTTCTTGCCTCTTCATCCGAGTCATGATCATTAATAATATCAGCTCTGAAGTGCAAAGTCAGCTACAGATTCTCTCTTCATGGCCGTGGGGAATATCTTCTTTATGGACCGCAAAATATTGATACAAATTATACCATAATAAACAGGAAATATGACGCAGATATGGGATATACAAGATGAAAGATGATGCCTTTAGAATTCAAATTAAATCTAAAACATCTTGGATGTACCTGGAAAAATTATATAATGGATATATTTATCATTTTAATTTTTTTTTTAACTATACAAACTCTAATAAATAATATAGATAAAAACCTTTCAACATTTGATGAGCTTATTAATTGTATTCGATAAGAATTCAATTTAAGCATTTCAAGACTATTTAGTTTATATTTAATGCCCATATAAGATAGCGGGAATTGTTAATAAATAATATAAACAATGAAGAACGTGTCAGTTTGAATTTATGGTATTTTCGTTCTCGCTTCAAATCAATTTTATTTAAATTGTGTATATTGCCAGTAGGTGTTCTAAAGGCGAAACTATGAAAATAAAATAGTTTTGGATAGAAAAGTATCAAATTTTATAACTATTTTAGTGAATACGTGTGTTTTTACTTAACTGTTCCGTTTAGAACTGGTTTCTAGCTGTCAGTTAGTATTCCTGTGTAAAATGTAAAATTGTAGGATTTTCGAGAAATCATAAAAACGACTATTCATAGGGTAAACATGGGTTTCAATAGCACCCATTTGAAGTGAAGCGTTGCTGATCATTGACTGACGTCCAACGGCATTTACCATTATGATTGGATCGTGGTGCTATTTTTCTTCCTCTTCTTTTTTTTAATAGCCTTTATGGTCTCGGTGGGTCGTGCACATCCGTCACAGTCCGATCAGCCCGTCCCAGTCGCAGTCGCAGTCCCATTTCCAGACCCATTCCCATATCTAATCAACACATCGGCGACAGCGACGGGTATAAAGTGGTAATCGGGGGGAATTCGTCAGAGAAATTGAAATGGAAATGGGAATGGGAATTATGACGCCCACTAATTGTGTGAGAAATCGATTGAGCGGCGAGATCTCACCCCCTCCCCCCCATTTACATCCCCATCCCCGTTCTCTGTTGTAAGTCCGATCTGGGAGAACTTTTTGGTACAATCCGTTGACCTTCGCTCAAGCGACAACTTCCGTTGACGTCAGCAGCTGTCGCCCATCAGCGATCGCGGCGAAGATCGTCGCAAGTAAATTATATTGCCGCAAACCCCTTCCCCATCACCCACTTTAATTCCTGCCCCAACGCCCCCTTGCCACACAGCCCTTTTCCGCCCCCCGGAAGCTGCAAAGAATTCTCTGTGGAAGTAAAAACTTGGGATACCCTACAAAAATAAAAAATAAACCTATCGATTTTTGCTAAACATTAAACAAATTAGTCATCATTTATAGCTTTGTATATTTTATAATAATTATAATAACCATACAATTTGTGGTTATTGTCGACTATTGAACTTTGAGGAGCTGTTATCTTTAGAAAAATGAGTCATATTTTATAAACCTTATTTATATTATGTAAATTTAAATGTTGCTAAGGTTTTTGGGTGTTGGCTATCGAAATAATCGGCAATAAATGTGGGCTCATTTTTGAGGCATTTTTATTACCCAAAGCTATGCTTTCACATTTTGTTTTCTTTATCACGTAGAATTACGAATAGTAAGAATGAGTAAGAGAATTCTCTTTATATATCTCTTTGAATCTCGATAATTTTATAGTCTGCCTGTCGATTATGCTATGGTTATCATCAAAGAATTTCATAACATATCGACTTTTATCAACTAGAGTGCCGGCTATCGAAATAATCGGTAATTAAAGTCAGCACTGTCGGCACTGATTGATCGATTAATTTGGAAGGGTCCTCAGTCCATGGTAAATAATTAAATTGACACAAATTGAAGAGTTTATCATGTCAAACTTAATAATAAATTGCTATTATCGATAAATTTAATTTTATAAAAGTTCATAGCATTCTCTTAATCAGGGTATCTTGACAAATAGTTTTTAGTGAACTCGAAAAGCTGTTTCGCAGCACATTCCAAGGTCCAGTCCCAATCCCAAATCGGAGACCCTTCGGAGTCGGCTTCGATTCTCGAGTGTGCGCAATTTGCGTCATTTGCTCTTGTTGAAGTTGTTTGTTGGCTTCAATTTTTTGTTTTGTTTTTCAGCTGGTTCTCTGATTCCACGGCTGGTTTTGTTTGTTTCGCGTTTGCAATTTCCACTGAATTGAATCCCAGTCGTCGATCTTGCGAGACCAGCAATTTACACAGGAAGAAGTTCTTTGATAGTTTTTATGATCAACAAGATCACAATAATCTAAGTACCCAATAATTTGATTTTTAAAAGTAGGCAATAAAATATTATACTCGGAAATTCGTTCATGGTATAAAAAGGCATACTTTTGGGCTCTCGAGTTGTTGATTTAAAATCGCTAGAAAAATTTTCTTGGTAGAAAAGAATATTTAAAATATAGATAGTAATATTATAGTCTTAGAATATATTTTCCTCAGTGCAATGCAGCTTGCGTGCCAGCATATTTGTCATTCCTGTAAGTGCAGGCAGTTCCCTGCCCCTTCCTAACCCCTTCTTTTCTCCTTCCTAGCCCCTTCTTTACCCCTTCCTAGCCCCTTTTCGAACTCCTTAAAGGTTATGTTGTTCGGTTGCATGTCCCCAAGCGATGGCACCCGAAACACACGCGCCACCAGCAACATGCAACATGCAACATACGTGTGGGTTGTGGGTTTTGATTTACACTCGACTGCCGGGTTTCCGTTTGCGGCCTAACTTAGTTCTAAAA